GGTTGGCTACTCCAGCCTTATTTACCAGGAACTGAGGGGTAGAGGGGGGAATACTGCCATGCAGAGGACTTTGTACTCTCATTTCACACGGGTACGTTCATGCACCAAAAGTAAGCAGCTAACGCGACGACGAAGATGCTTGCGTTGGTCGATCTCCGTCCATTCTTTTTCAGTTCACCATGTCTCCTCTCACCAAACTATGTATGGCCAACCGGTTTCTCCTTTAGGCTTTGGTCCAGCGTAGTGTTGCCCTCGTGACTAGTAGGCTTCGTACTACTAGTATCCGGGTTGCATGCTCGCTGTTGAAAATGCCTTGTCTTCACTTTGGTAGGACGTTACCCCACGTCCGCTCACGGTCTCCTTTGTCATGTCGCTAGATATACCTAGCCAGCGTCCAAACCGGCTTCTTCTTTCCCATGGTCCCAGCAAGCGTAACGACACCAAAGATGCGTACAGTTTCTGACAGTCTTTACAGAACCCCAGCATCAGTCACGCCATCCAGCTCAGAGGCATCCTCTCCAATCACGAGCACGACTTCTTCTCCTGATACTCCCGAGACAACGGTAACGACACCAACAGCGACAACGCTCGCTTGATAAACACATCATACGTTTTAACGATAACGAATATACGACACGCATTACGATTTGATGCATTATGTTGATTCTTTTTTGATTTTTCAACTCAATACATTCGCTGCGGACGCTGGAGCTTGTCATTGTTATGGACTGAACACAGGCTACAATGAGCCATGGCAGAGGAAGAATCCATTGCTACTTTACTTATTCAATTCAAAATGCAACCATTCCTTGAAAACTTGAACTCGGTGGCTAAAGATGCTGATTCATCAGGATAATCCCGTGATTAAGTAGAGCATGGCTGTTGCAGCGCCTGTGGGACACGGATTACTGAAAGTGGTTTGGTGATGACAGCATTCTGGGGGAAAGCGGCCAGGGCTTCCTATCCCGAAAGGGCAATGGACCTCGGCCCAATCACGAAGGCTTGGTGCGACCGGACACCAACCTCGCATGCGCTGGAAGCTGAACGCCAGCATTACTCTTTCACGACTGCACATCTCCTATACACGTTACCGCGACACGATTAATTGGGCTACGACGACCCTCACGCTACGCATCGCCGCCTTGACGCACCCGTGAGTTGCCGGAACGCAGCGTTATCTCTGGTCGTGTTCCGAGATTCCCCACACGCGACGCCTGCTCCACCCCCGAGTACGCGGGCTGCATAGCCCTCTCAACCATCACCATGATACAGGGCACGCGTCGCTGGCTCAGACGCAACCGCACAAACTTTGCCATCGGCGCCGGAGTGCTCGGCGCGGGTTACCTGGCGGGGCAGTATGTCCTGGGCAAGCTCGGGGAGGCGAGGCAGCGCATGAGCGATGATCGCATCGCCAAAGAGAAGTCCGCCTACACCGTGTCCATCACATGACAACCTCTAACGACAATGCAGTCTACGCCGCCGCTTCGAGCAGAACCAGGAAGACTGCACCTTCACCGTCCTCGCCATCCTGCCCACCGCGACCGAGAACATACTGGATGCCATTCCCGTCGAACAAGTGCTGGAAGAGCTGCAGAGACAAAAGGCAGAGCGCCTATCGCGGAGTGTCGGACCCAGCGAGATTGCCAGTTCAGCGCCCCCGAGTGTAGCAGACACGACTGAGGATGACGCAAGGAGCTCGAGTCTTCAGACGGATAGCTTCATCCATGCCAGCCAGATCGCTACAGAGGGTGACAGCAGCACGGGCCCTACCGAGGCTATCCCAGAGGTCAGGGAGGATAGGAAGAGCAAAAAGAGCAAGGCGCAGCTATGGAGCGAGATGAAGATCAGCTGTGAGTACCGTCGTGTCGGCGTTGAGATTTGACATACTGACGCGACCAGCCATAACACGCGCCTTCACCCTTATCTACACCCTCTCTCTCCTCACGCTTCTCACCCGCATTCAACTGAACCTCCTCGGCCGCCGAAACTACCTCGCCTCCGTCGTGTCGTTAGCCGCGCCGCAGTCGACAACCGAAGGCGCAAGGATCAACTTGGAGAACAACGACGACGACAACTTCGAGCAAGCATATGGCAACGACTTCGAGACCAACCGCAGATACCTCAGCTTGAGCTGGTGGTTACTACACAAGGGATGCATAGAGCTCATCGAGAAAGTACGGGCCGCTGTCAAGGACGTCTTCGGTCTTGTGAACCCAAGAGAAGAGATGACTCTGGAGAGACTGTCGGAACTTACCCTGGAAGTGCGCAAGAGGGTCGAAGGTGCAACAGAGGAAGAGCGAAGGTAGGACCCCCATCTCATCTGGAATGACACCCGCTAACCCCTCACAGAACATGCAAGTGGCTCACCTTCCTCCTCCCACCGCAAGACCAGGAAGACTACGTCCTCCGCGAATCCGGCATGACCTCGTCCTCCGAGTCCACATCACCCACAACAACAACCTCTCTCCGCCGCCTTATCGACGAAACTTCTGATCTTATCGACTCGCCTGCCTTCACACATGTTCTCACACAGCTCCTCGACGCTGCCTTCTCCCACCTCGTCGACGTCAAGATCTCACAGCTCTCCTACAAGATCCCGCCCATCTCTGATAACCACGCTCGTGTGCAAGAGATTGTTGGACACGACATCAAGGCCAAGGTTGCGAACAGCTTAGCCGTATTCTGCAGACAAGCGCACAGCATCGGTACCGGAGCCAACAATGAGTACCTAGCTGCTATCGAAGCGGTCGGTGGTCTTGAGGCGTTCGCTGCTGTCGTCTACTCCAGCAATTTCGAGTACGAAAGTCCAGAGGCTGCTGCTGTGTTGAGTCAATCTGCTCCCGCTCCTGTCGAGCTAACAGCGCCGAGCGTGGTGCCTGAGGTTGCAGCTTTACAGGATGTACAAGAGATCAAGTCAGACGATCCGTTCGAGAGCGCTTGGGGCAAGGCGCTGGCGAAAGAGGATGGGAAGCAGTTTTAGGGGATTGTACGATTGGTGCATGTAGGAGTGGCCGTCGCGACGTAGGATTCTTGAGATACCCGTAATTTGAACCTGTAGCACTACTTTTCCTCGTTCTTCATTTCACACAAGATTGTGTATATCTCAATTCCGATGAGAAGCGTCGTGCCTTCCGGCCTCGGAATGTTGAGTCGTGACGTCAGAGCCATGGTGGGACCTGTGAACACCTCTCAACCACATGTACCTTTCCATATCCCTGCCAGTGTCCCCTGAACCACCGATACCAACAAAAACTCCGAGTCGCAGAACTCCCCGGTACTCACAATGGCAGACCAACAAAATGCCAACCAAGGCAAAAACGCCTACGTAACCCTTCTCACCCGCCCCAGCTACCTAGCCGGCGCAATCCTCCTCGCCTACACCCTGCACAAACACTCCCCTTCCACCCCGCTCATAATAACCTACACCCCGGAGACCTTACCAGAAACCTGCATCAACGCCTTCAAAGCCGAGGCCGCTTACTCAAACATAATCCTCCATCCCGTGGAACACCTGCGCCTGCCAGAAGATGGAACCGAACACGGCATGGTCGCCGAGCGCTTCATCGATACATGGACCAAACTGCGTGTTTTCGATCTGTGGGATATGCCTGGACAGAAGATTGAGAGGATTTGTTGGTTGGATGCTGATATGATGATCTTCTCCAACCCTTCGCCCTTGATCTTCAATGAGGAGAATGATGCGTATTTGAAGGGAGGGGATGGCATGCGTACAATGGCCGTACACACCTGCGTCTGCAACCTCGACCACGACTCCTGGGCCCCCGCAGAATGGAACCCGCAGAACTGCGCTATCGCCAAACTCACCGCACCGGATCAGCTAGCGGAGGTGAAGCCGGAACCCTACACATTGTCCAACTTCAACTCTGGCACTTTTCTCTATCGGCCTAGCAAGGAACTGTCTTCTTTCGTGCTGAGCAAGTTCGAGGAATTGGGCAATACAAAGTTACGTGCTATGAAATTCCCGGATCAGGATTTCCTCAACGAAGCTTTCGACGGGCGGTGGAGCAGTTTGAGCTGGAAAACGAATGCGCTCAAGACGTGGCGGTACTGGCATGAGAATATTTGGCAAGACGACCAGGTCGCCGTGCTGCACTACATTGTGGATAAACCGTGGGTGGCACGGCTGGACGAAGATGGTAAAGCGGGGTATTTGGGTAAAGACGGTGTGACGCATGGGTGGTGGTGGGATGAGTATGATACGTGGAAGAAGCAGAGGGAGGACCAGGGAGAAAAGGAATTATTGGAGATTGTGGGCAAGTATGCGGCGAGGGAAGATGGGGTGGTGGATGAAGAGATGAGAGCTGTGGGGGGTGGGGCGCAGGATTTCGCGAAGAAGTGGACTGCTAAGGATGGGGAGGGTGCTGAGGGAGTGGATGAGAAGAAGGGGAACGAACCGACCTTGTCGGCGGAGGCTCAAGAGAAGGCGGAGCAGTTTGGAAAGGTTGAGGCGCCACAGGGGAAGATGTTGGGGGAGAGGGGGCATGGGCGTGTTGTCAGGGGTGGGAGGGGATTTGGTGGGAGGGGTAGGGGGGAGGGGTGGAGTGTTATGCAGGATTGATGGGCGGTGTAGACGGTAGAATGAGGTGTTAGAACGTGTGGTAGCAGGGAAGGCGTTGGTGGGTGGATGTAAAGTACAAAGGATAGACTGGCGCGAGGTTATTCAACATGGTCTGACTAGAGAGGGAGGAATAGAGAAAAGTATACTGTAGTCATTGACAATGAAACGAGGAGGCTAGAGCACTAGGTGATATAGTCTTGTATCACTTCTCATACACATTCTAGATCAATCATATATATCCCTACTATCATCCCATATGTCGGAAACCCGAACGCTGTCGTTTGGATCCATATCAATAATGTAAACGCAAGCTTTTATATCGATCTCCTGCCTCCGCTCATCTCCATACCCAAGCCCCATCCAATCAAAAGACCTCGGCTTTCCTCCTCACATCCCAATCATCCATCCCAATCATGATCCCCTACATAAGATCAATCAGATTCACACCCTCATCCTCGTACTTGATAATCGGACGACCAGTCTCCTTGGCAACGGGTGACGCGACGTTGTTGGCGAGGACGATGTGCCCGTTGTGTGTCAGCGAGGGGCCGCGGAGTTCGGCGGCGAAGGTCGGGCGGGGCGGAGGCATCTTGATAGCGGGTTCTTCGCGCTTGTGGATCATGGTGCCGTTGGTGTTGCTGTTGATGCCGTTGTTATGTCCGTTGATGTTGCCGTCGGTGTGGCCACTGGTATGACCGTTCATTCGACCGTCGATCTTGCGGTTCATCCTGGAGGTTTCTTCGGGATCATCATCTCCCTGGACAGGCGCCAGGATCTTCTTCTCGACTGAAGTTTCCTTCTTCGCATCCTCCTTTGTCAGTGCAGTCTTATCCTCCTTCTCCAGCCGTCCAACCATCTGCCCGATGTTCCAGAGGTTATGCGGATGATTGGCGTCATACAAAAAGTCCAGCTCAGGATCGTCCCTCGCAATAAGGCCTTGGCGCATCTTACACAAAGCGACCTGCGTACGGTGACACGCGCCATATCCCTCTAGAAAACCGCGCTGGTGCGACTCCTTGAGTGCTTCCTTATGACCGGCTTCTTTACCCGCGCCAAACCCATCGTTATACGCCTCCTCCGCAACCTCATCAGCCTTCTCATGGGTGATGGAGTTATCAGCAAATTCAGCTTCCAGTTGCTCGCGGGCAATAGCCTTCCAGTTTTGCTCGCGCATCTGTTGGGCTGCTTCGCGGAGACGGAGGGCTTCGATCTTGATGTTCAACTTTCCGTTCATATCAGCCATGGCCCTCTGCGCGTTGAGTTCGGCTTCGCGGCGGGCGTGTTCCATCTGCACAGCACTCATCGGTCTATCGCCGTTCTCTTCCAGCGCGTACATGAGCTGTTTCTGGCCTTCGGTGAGGTAGACTTCTAGCTGCGTAATTTTCTGCTCGCGTTCATCGAGGTCGCGCTCTCGGGCTTCGACTTTGGACTTGAGCGTCAGGGTTGTGGCTTGGTCGCGGAGGAGGTTCGTCAACATGACGGATGAGGCGGCTTCGACCTTTTGCTGCTGCTCAGCTTCGATGGACTTGCGGAGACGCACGCCCTTGTTGCGCTCGGCGTCGAGTTCGTTCTTTAGCTTCATGACCTGTGCGTTCATGCGGACGATTTGTTCGCGATCGCCGTGGTCGCCGCCTCGGGATCCGTGGGAATTGAAGTGGGAGCGAGGGGCGCGCGGAGCGTCGTTGAATCGATTGACCTCGTTTGACGACATCATGTGCTGCATATGTTAGTTTTGCATATATCCAATGGCTTATAGAGTTGCCTACCCTCGGGTCTGGAAGGCCGAAGAGGCGGGATGGAGGCGACTGGAAGTCAGGCCGCATGTGCGGAGGTAGACTGTGAGCTGGCCTCGAAGGCTTCGGCGCCTCGATGTTCGCGTCTGTGTCGGTCTTGAAGTCGCTGTCCTCGGTTCCGATGTCAACGTCGGTATTGGTGGCCTCGACATGCAGTCCAGGGGGCGATGCCAGAGGAGCTTCCTTCTTGGCGATTGGAGACGCTGTTCTTTACATTAGCAGGTGACTTTGGTGATGGTAATGAGACATACCAAGCTTCAACTCCGGCTTCTCGTCAATTCGCTCTTGCTGCTCTTGCACAGTCACAGGGCTCGCTCCGACTCCGCCGTCGAGGTCTTGCTCTATGATCTCTCCATCTTCAAGAGAGGCAACACTCTTGTTGTCTTCCGCAACAAGCTTGGGTGAGGGGAAGGGGGAACCAAGAGTCGCGGTCTTGACATCTGTTGAATCTTCGATAGCAACTTGCTCTTGGGTACTAATTGGCTTCTCGACGTCGGGCGCAGAGACTTTAGGCATGACAGGCGAAGGATCAGAATCCAATGTGTTCTCTTGATTATGGATTTCTCCATCGTGTGTCTCTGTGTGCGCAGCGGCTGTCTTGATGTCTGAGGGCGACGCGATGTCTAGATGAGTGGCCTGGTCGCTTGAAGTCGCCATGTTGACGACTGTATACTGATGCGGTTACTCGGACTGGTAGTACTCAATGACTTGGTGTGATGGAGTGTCGAGATAAACGATGCCGCTGTTGTAGGATTGACTCAAGGATTGATCGAGTAAGTAAAGGCCAATGTGGTGTCAAAATGATGCCTGACCAAGGTGGAGGATAGAGGAGTGTAAGTATAGAGCGGTAGAATGTCAGGCTTATATGGATATAGATCGCCTGGTGAGGGGCGCTAGCACGTGAAGGCCCATGGCCGCAATGGCCTCCACTGAAGTAAAGGCGGGGTCTTGTCGTCAGGTCGACGGCGGTGCAATAGAGGAAGATCCACATACGCTCTTCCAATGAATGTCTGCATCCGCTTCGCGCGAGGTCACCGGAGCTTGGCTACTAGGATGACAGAGGCTTATATAGCCCGATGTGCGCGTTTGACAGTGTCGTTTGATGCTTTCTAGTGCGCTTGTCGCGTCCTTCGCTACCCGATGTTGTGACCGACTATCGTATTCTCAACGATTCACAGTACGCAAGGCGCATAGCCATTTGACAACTTCTACCTGAAGGCGTCGTGGACCCAGTACCGCTCTAATACTTGCTCATAACGCACACCAATGTCAAGGAACGCCTTCGTAGTTTCGGGCGCCGCAGACAACTCGAACTCAGCTTGGAAACTCACGTCTTCCAAGCTCAGATCAGATGTCCTGCATTCCGCGATGAAATTCCGCAGGACAATCGATGTATCCAAGCTCTTGTATCCCATCCGATATTGGCTTTCGACACCAAGCAACATCGTGAGGCTTGTGAGAGACGGTGATAGCAGCTCGGCCATTGGGGGCGCGTTCCTCGAAAAATTAGCGTACGGAGCAGAAGCACCGAGCAAGCCGTTCTGAGATATAACCAACTTGCTCAAACGTTCGAATGGTCGAAGAGTGCCGAGAGGTTTGAGCGGTACCATCTCTACGTAATCTTCGTCTATATCAGAGTCCGAGGCCTCCTCCTCTGATCGGAACATGATTTCACGAATATCAAGATGTAGGGATTCAAGCGTGTCAGCGTGACGTAACAGGCTGGCGTACAGGTCGGATGGCGACCCTTCAAAATCCTCGAGAGGCATCCATATACAGACAACATGTCTTAAGCCTTCACATGCCGATAGAATACTGGCTACCGCCTCTATCTCGAGACGACATGCGGTGATCTCGAGGCGCTGCAGCGTTTTCCATAAGCCAAGCTGAGGCATCGATGCTGGCGGTCGTGCCACGACGCTACGCGCTCGGAAGTCGGTGAGCATGGGCGCCGTCGATACCACGGAGCAAATCTGATCAAACGAAATGGTTTCGGCGTGGAGTCCGTAATGTTGGAGAGTTGTATTGACGCACAATGTCTGAAGCTTGCTAAAAACATGTTCGGCTCCTGGGTTGGGCGTAGGCGAAAGCGTGGTTTCCCGTCCAGGGACCAAGTGTCTCCAGAAGGATCGCTCATGGTCTTCTATATTCTCGATCGACAAGTGTTGCAGATTGACCGCCTGTTTGACAACGTCGGCTAGCATGGTAAGGTAGTGTTGTGCAACGGTGTGCGGAGGTATGCTGTCGTTCTGGCACTTCTTGTCCATGCGTCGAATCTCCACGTACTTCAGATACTTGTTAAGCTCCTCAACCGAGCGAGAGGAGTCCAAGATTCTTTCGCGAAAAAACTGGAGAGGTTCGGTGCCATGCTCGGCGGCGGTCCCTATGAATGAGGCGTACAGGATTGGGGTAGCCATTCGCCTTAGACAACGAGATGTCAGACAGAGACTGTACAAGGCCAGCCTGCGAATATGGTTGTCGGATTGACGATTTGCCTCTATCGCCACGTTTTTCTGGTGTTCGGTGTACCTGAAGAGCGTGTCGTAAGAGCGAATGGCGTCGAGATGTGTGATTATCTCCTGCACCAGCTCATCTGGTAAGCCCTCAAGCGACGCGTTTTTGGAGTTCATGGTCGATCAGTGTATTTGGCTGCTTGAAGTGCGTGTGAATGAGTAAATGAGTGAGCGAGTGAATGTAATGAAATAGAGGTTTGTTGTTGCACGAGCGCAGAGATGAAGGGCGTCGTTGAAGTTGACAGGGCGTTAGGCTGCCACGCCGCTAGCTCATAAGAGGAAAGGTATTGACTGTTGCACACCTGGGCAGGCGCCAGGGAACACCGACAACTCCACATCACGATAGTTACACCTGGGCTGATGTGTACGTTCATAGGCAAGACTCACAAGATGTTGTTACATTATTATGGGTATATCGCAAGCTCAATCAAATCCTCCAATCAGCTCATACCACCCTCGTCGTCTTCCCCGTCTCGACATCGTAGATCCACCCGCTGAACCGAATGTTCTCTTCGATCGCTTTGATCCTGAGCCATTGTATATCCTTCTTGACTTGTATCTCCAGATCACGGAAAGGCCGGAAGTCGAGGGTCTCCACCTCTCTCGCGGCTATCTCTCCCCTCTTCTTCATGACCACGGCTTTCGCAGTCGGGTTGTCGAATGTGAGCATACCGCAGCCGGTGTGCTTTACGACGATGACTTCTCTTGTACCGAGGAGTTGTTGCGATATGACGATGGATCGGAACGCGTCGTGTACACAGCCGCCGGCGTTGCGGATTACGTGGGCGGCTCCGAGAGGGATGCCAAAGGCGGCCGTTGGGTCGATGCGCGCGTCCATACATGTTACTGACGCGTCATGTTAGCGGGCGATGGCTGGAGATGTGGTTGCAGGTGCTTACCAATGGTGTATCTTTGACTGGGTGGTAGTGCTAGATGGCCCTGGTCGAAGGAAGCAGCATACGCCTGGTTCCCAAGCTCGAGGTTCCTCTCTCCGTGTGTCGGCATAGTCGGTTTTGATTATTGTTAAGGCGTAAGAGGTTATGATGGGTTTACTGCTGGATGCATCGCCATCCCCTGCGACCTTATATATCGCCATGTCGCCGTCCTGATTACTACGATACGCGCCGGTTGCTTTTCGCACCTGAGGAAAGTTGCGGCATTGCGGGGGTGAATTTCGCCATGTTACTGGCCTGATACAGTTGGCGTTGATACAGGAACGACATGCGACAGACGTTACCGCAGCTGCACGTCTCCGGCAGAATGGCATCAACCCAAGCGCGGTTTCATTGGTCATCTCGACAAGGGTCCTCAGGCGGATCTCAGGCAAAGACGGCAAAGGGTGGGGCAACCCTTCTAGCGTGTCGCATGCGCATCTTCAGATGTTCCCTTAATCCCGATCCTTCATTCTTGCTCCCACAAGGCGTCAATGCTTCTCTCTGTTAAATCTACTCTTTACCCTCTTGGGTTCCATGCTCATGTATTTCGGCATCCTGACTGAATCGCGTAGAGGATTGCGTTCGGCCTGACTCAAGATATCCGAGACATGAAGAGATATGGAGCCGCTCATCAAACCCGGATAGTGGATATACCTTCCAGGAGATAAGAGACGGGTTACCGGACGAACACAGTTCGAATTGCCGTCGCCGCGAAGCTGGGATTAGACGCCACTCCCCAATGGCGCAGTAGAAGTCTGACAGACCAACACCAAACGGCCAATAGACTGCGCGTCGTAGACCATTATCCGTCGGATAAAGCATTTCGAAATCCAGGTATCGTTGCAATGGCCATTCTGTATAACGAGATCATTGTCGAAATATCAACACTGGAGGAGCTAGGCCTAAAACGGAATAGCTCCCAATACCATCACTCCAAGGACAACGCCTGAATTGCCGTGGTGCTTTGACCTAAGGAAGACATCTATGAGCCAAGAAGCGTACCGAATTTCTAGGAAGAAATCATCGGATGGGGGTGGAAAAGAATACCAATAATATTTACAACTCCACTCCGCACGCTTCGAGGCTGGGTATGACGCTGCGCGAGCGTCATGCCTTACAAATCATTTTGCGGCCTCTCATGAGAGCATGCATCTCAAAGCATAGATGTATCTCATGTCTAACCGCTACTAAACTCGCTCTCCCTCAATAATTAATTGATCATGGCCTCTCCGCAATCCCCAGCCATCGACAGCTCGCGCTGGCATCAACGAATCGCGTCAATCACCACCACATCCAACGAAAAGATCCGTCTAAACTACATCGAATGCGCACCACCACGTTTGGCGAGAAAGAAAGGCGTAATACTCCTCATCCACGGCTTCCCTCAGACATCATACCAGTTCCGGCATGTCATCACGCCGCTATCAGAGGTCGGCTATCGCGTCATCGCGCCCGACTACCGGGGCGCAGGACAATCTTCCAAACCCTTGACAGGCTACCAGAAGACGCAGATGGCAGAAGACCTACGTATTCTGGTTCAAGAGCACTTTGGCATCAAGGAGAAGATTCATGTTGTGGGACATGACATTGGTGGCATGATCGCATTCGCGTACGCATCGCGCTATCCCGATGATGTCGCTAGTGTTATCTGGGGCGAATGTCCGCTACCCGGTACTTCGTGCTATGAGAACGTCAAAGGCACACCGGACGTCTTCCATTTTGTCTTCCATCAAGTGCCCGACCTGCCAGAGTTCTTGATTGCAGGCAAAGAGCGGGAGTATCTCAAGCATTTCTTTGACAAGATTTCGTACAATAGTGCGGCTATTTCGCCCGCTGATCTCGAGCATTACGCCCTAGCGTATTCGCAGCCTGGGGCTATCAGGGCAGGTCTGGAGGTCTACCGTGCGTTTGAGAAGGACGCTGAGGAGAACAGGCAATGGGTGGCTGAACACGGGAAAGTGAAGGTACCGTCGATGCTTATGAATGGTGAGAAGTTCATGCTGGCACAGTCTGCGGAGGGTATGGCGAACGAGTATCATGAAGGTGCGGAGATGGTGACGATTGAGGAGGCAGCGCATTACATTGCGGAAGAGAACCCTGAGGCATTTGTGAAGGGTGTGTTAGAGTTTGTTGCTAGACACTGAGCGCACTCAGCTCGCAGACAACTACGTAGGTACACTGGATTGCGACTTCCACATCGGTCTCATATTGACGGCGTGATGAAGCTTTTAGTAACGAAACGTACACTATCCACCACCGCGACCCCAGCCGCAGAGACCCCTAGCGATTACTACCAGTCTGGATACATGAGCGGGTATGCAACCTCAAAGGGCTGTCTTGGTAGATGGTTCTCACCTGCAATCCATATTGGCTTAGACCCAAAGTCATACAGTAATTCATTCTGGAACCCCAGTCGCTGTTCAAGGTGCAGGGTTTCACCATACAGGACTTCCCTACAAAAGCGAGGGAAATTTAAAGACCCGCCGAATCGGCTGATGTATATGGCAACAGGGAACTCAGGGGCAAACTTGCGCCTGCATGCCAGAAATGCAGAGTATAGCCCTATGCGCTCTGGCTCACGTCTCAAAGGCAGCTGTATGCGGAGTCCCGCGTTTGTCATGTCGTAATTTGGCATCGGGTCTAGACGATCAATCAGACCGGGTGGATACTCGCATGGTTCGTAGCTTGCTCCGTTAGAGAAGCACGACACACTTGGCGCTAGCATGTCGCCGTTGACTGTCTCTGACTCCCAGGCGAAAAGAGAATGGTCAGTACTTGTCCGCAGGATCTCGAGTTGTAGTCGCCTGAAAGCGCTGCTTCTACCCTCTCCGTACAAAGTTGCCATATTCACACCAAAGATACCCATTAGGGAGTACGCTTCGTCTTCCGGTCGCGTTGTGACTCTGCTCGCCGCCCACGACATCTTCTCCGATACGCCCATAGCACTGATGGCTTCGCGGTCTCTCAGGACCTCCACATCAATGTTGGAGGCTATAGAGACTTGATGGCACGAATCAGCTTTTGTGCCGATCTTTTTCCAGCTCTTTGCGTAGAAAGTCAACTTGAGCGGGGCGATTAGCTCTTGCAGAGTCCACCCTCTTGAAAACCAAGCTGATCTGGAGAGAATTCGATCTTCACCGAGCTCCACATCGTCCAAGTATGCAATGCACCACGCTGAATTGGTGTAGTAACTGTACATCGAGTTGATGGCTTCTGATAGCTCGGCGCTGGAACTCTTGTCGATGCAGCAAGTATCGCTCCATAAATAGCTAAAACCGTGTTCAAGCGCAACACGGCACGCCATCTCAAGCTTTGCGTAACCCTTCTTGCTTCGTGCAACACTGCGGTCCGCGGATGCGATGTCATCGTATAGAACTTCTTGCCAACGCCATCGATGCGAAAGGATCGCGTATCGGGGTAAAATCTCTCCTCTAACCTCATGTAACGAGATCTGTAGGGTAGGATCGAGAGCATCATTGGACTCAATATAAAGGAGCCGCATTGGTCTGTGACTAGGGTCGCTAGTATGCGGATAATAATGTTTATAGGGTGGCACGCGTTTGTATGACTGAGAAGGTCGAGGCTGGGCAAGGGCAAGTGTGACGTGTCTTGTGCCTCTTAGCTAAGCGATTCGAGCTCATTGGACGCCTATACGAGACCAATGGCGGGCACACACGGCATGTACAACATGAAAACATCCCGACTAGACATAACAGTCCTCTTGTAGTCGCGTGAGCACTACGGTACTCTTACATCGAACTTCCCTGTAGCCTCCGGTTTCGAAAGCACCCAAAGTATACCCTCATCAACACACTGATCCCAATGCTCAGACGCCTTCAACGCTTTCCCAAAGCGCCTATGACCATGCGGAATGCCCTTGAACAGCGTAGTAGACGTCGGAACATTAGCCTCGGACAGCTTCTTCGCAAACAACAGCCCCTCATCGCGCAGCGGGTCCAAGCCAGCAATACCAAACACCGTAGGAGGAAAACCCTTGACCTCCTCTTCCGTCGCATTGACAACATTCATCTTCGTGTCTTTGAGATCTACATCCCCGATCTTCAGCAGCTTGGTAAAGAAGTCGATGGTTTTCTTCGGCAAAACCGGTGCATCTTCGTTCTCAACGTAGGATGAGGTTGAGGGGTTGAGTAGCTTGCCTGGCCCTTGATCGTAGGTAGCTGGGTGGGCGAGCATTGGGATGATTAGGATCTGGCCGGCTATTGTGGGTAAACCTGCGATGTCTTCGCTCTTTCCAAGGTGCTGCTCTAGAGTCAGGGAAGCAGCTAGGTTGCCGCCTGCTGAGATGCCGCCGACGAGGACTTGGGATGGATCGCCTCCGAGCATGTCGATGTTCTTGTGCAGCCAGACGAATGCGTCATGAGTGTCATTCCAGGCGGTTGGGAAGATGTGTTCTGGTGTATGGCGGTAGTTGACATTCAGCACCAGAGCCCCAGTCTTGATCGCGGTTTGCGCACACAGCGGGTCCTCGCTACTCAGCGATCCTGTCTTATCGTCAGCTAAAAGACCTTGATGCATCACAAGCCAAACGTGTTACCGAAGATGAAGCCTCCACCGTGGAAGTACAGGTATACAGGAAGCTTCTCGGATGCATCCTTCTTCACGGATCGATAGGTTCGAGCTTCGATGGTTGAGCCATCGCGGGTCGGAATGGCGTGATCTTTGGTCTGGACATGTGGTGCGAACAATTGCTTCACCTCTGCAGAGCGTGCTTCTCGCTCAGAATTGACCGCATTACGCAGAACGATTGGATCCAACGAGATGTCGAAAGTTCGCGCGGGCAGTGTCTTCTCCACTGCCAACCATTCTTCTGACGGTCCGCCGTACTGAGAGAAGTCCATTGTCGATTTGATGAGAAAAGATTTGCTGCCTTGAGTGGAGGGCTTGAAGCGATATGTATCCGAGATGTAGCCAAACTTCGTACGAGCCTAGCATTGACGCGTCAAGTCCCCTTCGTCATATCTGCGCCCGGTCGCTAGCGTCACCCCGCAATGTACCGAGGTCCTCACATGCATGCCACCAACATCATGTTTGCTTTTTTGGGGGGCTGCTTGTTGTTGACCCACCACCATTGACCTAATCGCTTCGATTTTAGTATTCTTGGCCCGGAGATGACTATGTGCATCTGCTTTTGAACTCCGTGGTCCAAATCGTCATCTGCGAACACCAGCCGGAAGTATCGTCATATACCTAGGTCGAAAAAATGGCTACAGTACCGTCAGAGCCTCCGTCCCGTGGCCTCAAAAATAAAGTCGCGATCGTAACTGGAGCAGGCTGCGATGGTGATGGAATAGGAAACGGCCGTGCGATATCGATCATGCTCGCCGATGAGGGCTGCCATGTTCTCTGCCTGGATTTGAACATGGACTGGGCGCAGAAGACTGCGGAAATGGCAGCGTCAAAACCGCATCGCGGAAAAGCAATTGCAATCCAGGCCGATGTTACCAGGGCCAGCGATTGCGAGGCAGCAGTGGATAAAGCAATGCAAGAGTTCGGCAAGCTGGATATACTGGTGAACAACGTAGGTGTCAGCGGTGCACCAGGTACGGCAGTTGATGTCGACATGGAGGCATGGGCAAAGGGACTTGAGATCAACGTGAGCAGCATGGTGCAGATGACGAAGTACTGTGTACCGGCCATGCAAAAGAACGAAGGCGAAACGAAAGGCAGCATCGTCAACATGGGTTCCGTGGCTGGACTGAAAGGCGGCACACCACATCTGTTGTATCCGACCAGCAAAGGTGCGGTGGTGAATATGACGAGAGCGATGGCTGCGCATCACGCCCCCGATGGCATTAGGGTGAACTGTGTCTGTCCGGGCGTACGTCCTTCGTTCCTGCGACATAGCGGCATACTAACACGAGGCAGATGCTTTACACACCCATGATGTATGCAAGTGGCATGAGCGAGGAAGCCCGAGAAGCTCGAAAGAAGAGAAGTTTGCTGGGTACAGAAGGCAATGGCTGGGACGCAGCATGCGCTGTAACCTTTCTGAGTTCAGATCATGCGAGATGGATAACGGGTGCGGTTTTGCCTGTCGATGCCGGCGCGACAGCCGCAGTGGGCATCGGTATGCCAAAGAGTGCCAGTGTCAATGGCTAGAGTATGGGGTAGATGGGGTTAGACGGCAGGCAGGAGATGATGAGGGTTGGCGCAAAACGGGAAGGAACCTCGGCACATCGGCACCCGGCGGCTCATTGCTTGCACCGGCGTCACAATGCAGCCCCAAAGTCCCGACACCTCTTCGTGTACTTCTCGCGACAACTACGCAGCACTTTCATCCCCACATGGCATCAGTCAAATACACGTGATAGGAGTCTCGTAATCCAAATGAGGAAGGACCACATGTGGGGCGGAGGGCTGCCCGATGCGCACACTCATTTGCACCAATCGGAGCCTTTCACAGACATTGAGCCCAGCGGTCCGCTCCTCTAGTCCTTTCTAGTTTTTGCGCTGCACCCCGGATTTCCGCTAGAGATATCTTGGCTTCTCGGAAGTCATGGTGGTCATTCGTGGAAAGCCGGATGATCACAAAATGTAAGTCGTGGACGGAAGAACTGGGGTTGTGGCGTATACCTTCAATCTTGTTGCCGCTCAAAACCAAGTGCAATGTCAGATCTCTTATAAGATGGACTGCTACGAACACATTGAGAACCACCAGTCCGACTGCAGATTTCATCCTCTCTCGTTACAGCCATGAAGCTTCTTCAGTCGCTCAGCACATGTGTGCTCGCACTCTCTTCCCTCGTCAGCGCAGCAAGCTTCAGCAATCCGCTCAAGCAGAAGGATGGCTCAGACCCTCACATCGCCTACACCAATGGCTACTACTACATGATGACGACGACATGGACGAACCTTTCAATCACGAGAGCGAAGACGCTTGGAGGCTTGAAGACAGGGGAGACAAAGGTTGTCTGGACCGACTCGAACCCTGACAGATGCTGCAACATGTGGGCACCGGAGCTGCACTACCTCGATGGTGCATGGTACATCTACTATACTGCCGGCCGCAGTGGTACCGACAACCTGGATCTCCAGCGCCCTTATGTGCTCAAAGGTGAGAATGTTTCATCATATTGATGATGAGTAATCTGACAGTCGCAGGTGGTGCGGACCCATTCGGGACATACACCTACCTCTCCCAACTGACCAACGTATGGGGTATCGATGGCTCTATCGTTCGTTTCAGCAAATGGGGCAACTACTTCACCTGGTCTTGCTTCTCCGGCGCCCTTCAGTCACTTTGCATCGCACCCATGACTTCACCTGGCAAACTCGGTGCTACCAAGATCCTCTCTACACCTACTGAGTCGTGGGAAACCAATGGTAGCCCTGTGCAAGAAGGCCCAGTTGCTATGTACCACGGTGGCAAGACCTACATCGCTTACTCGGCAAGCTTCTGCTGGACACCCAACTACAGCTTGGGTCTGCTCACCTGGAATGGCTCGGGTGACCCGGCGCTCAGTGCGAGCTGGAAGAAGAGCGATGGGCCTGTCTTCACCAATGCCAACGGCAACTACGGGCCAGGTCACAACGGGTATGTCGACCAGTAGATATCGCGCGATATCCATGCTGACCACGATCTAGTTTCTTCACCAGTCCCGATGGCACGGAGATATGGAACGTTTACCACGCTACTGCTATTCAGACTGGCGCCTGCGACGGCAACAGGTACACGATGGCGCAGAAGGTCAACTGGAACGCTGATGGCACGCCAAACTTTGGAACTCCTATCAGGCCAGGCGCCACACTTGCTGGGCCTTCTGGAGAGTAGATTGTCGATCGTGGTTGGCTTGCGATAAAAGCTCTTCTTGTACATATATGGCGTTGCGCATGGTTGAGATGTACTAAACTTTGTTCCATATCACAATCGTAGTCGGGCCACCGTTTGAGCAAAGCCCGTGCGTGCAGCAAAGCTACTTCGTACCACTCTTCGTATCATACCGCATATCTGAGCAGCGATTGGAATATGTGATCATCGGTGTTACCAGGACAACTCTGTCAAGGGCGATTGGCCCCAAGCTTGGATCGAAGTCAGCTCATGTCGCTGCATAAGAGTCGGTGATGGGGGCTGGGGACCGAATCGATAAACTGAGCTGACCGGGCCGGAGCTGAAGGCGCGCCGATCATCTGCCTTGCTGTGCACGATGCATGCCCTGGTGAAGGTGTAATATGCTTTATCTGGGAGGCGAGCATACCTAGGTACGAAATGCTGATGTAAGAGTAGATCATGCCGCTGGATGCGTACACAAGATGGTAGGTGAGGGTGGCAGGTGATAGAGTGTCGGATGACGTCGGTGATGCACGAGTCATGGAATCTGCAAGGTCCCGCACGTGCTAGCGCGTCCCGCGCCAACATGCGTCAGCTGCACCCCGGACTCCGCTTCTGGCCAACTCTATCGCCTCTGCCTCCTCCACTCTTCTTCTTCTTCTTCATCCATCATCACGGTGTTCAGCAGGCTGGCATCATCAATACTCTCATCAATCTCCAGCTCGATACTGTCAGCCCAGCTAATCAATATGGCTGCTGAGAAAACACCGCTCGTCGCGTCGGACGCGTCTGCACCCGTGCAGCCAAGCCACGTGCAACGCTACTCCAAACGTCAAGCGGTAGGAAGACTGTTTGCCATCGCCGCCACAGCTACGCTCATACTCTATGGAATTCCGCAGGGTATGTGTATCGTCACGTCCAACTGATTCGCGACTAATTGATGTCCAGTCGACTATGAGCCGACCGGCGACTATCCAGAGGAGAGCGAGCTATGTCTGACTCCAGCTTGTGTGCATGCGGCCTCAGAGGTTCTCTACAACCTATCACCTCAGTACAAAGAGCTTGACCCATGCGATGACTTCGAAGAGCTTGTCTGCGGTGGCTGGAGAGACCGCCATGACTTGCGAGCTGACCAGGGTGATGCCTTTACCGGCACAATCATGTCGGAGAACTCGCAGATGCTGCTTCGCCACATTCTCGAGGCTCCTTACCCCAAAGACTCCGAGGCAAGTGCAACCTTACCCTTTAGATCAATCCCAACTAACCCTTCTGTAGCATTCTTACTTCTCACCCATGCAGCTGATGTCAACTGCCAAATCCGCCGATGAGGAGAACTTTGACAAGATGAGAGCGGCTTACGATGCGTGCCTCAACGAAGACAAGATCAAGAGCATTGGCGCTGGGCCTTTGAAGCAGGTCCTTGACGAGATCAAGAAGACGTGCTCTGCCATCGCTTCGGACTCCAACTCGATCAAGGACACTATCCTTCTTCTGGCCAAGTACGGTATCACTGGTCTTGTTTCAACTGGCACCGGTGCCGACGACACCGACCCGGACACTGTTGTCGTGTCTGTTGGTGCCCCGTACAACTTCGGACTACCTTCCAAGGAGCGCTACGAAGACGAGAAGCTCGTTGAGAAATACCGTGGTGTCGCTGTTGAAGTTCTCAGCGCGATGTACCCCGACCAGGATAAGGCTGTATTTGAGGGTATCATTGATCTCGAAAAAAAACTCGCGGCAGCATCTCCAAGCGAAGAAGACCGCGAAGATGTCACGAAGTCTTACAACCCATTCTCGATCGACGACGCGGCTGCGATCGCTCCCGAAATCGAGCTGAAGGCGCTTCTCGCAGGCCAGGCTCCAGAGGGCAGCGACATCAAACGCGTCATTGTCACGACCCCGAACTATCTAAAGGAGCTGTCAATAATTCTCGCAGCTACATCCGAGGATGTTCTCCAGGCCTACTTCATTTGGAAGGCCGTCCAGTCTCTCTCTGCTTACGTCGATGCGGACGCTGTCAAGCCTTACCGTCGGTTTGTCAATGTCCTCGCAGGCAAAGACCCTGACTCCGCTCCTGAGCGATGGCGATCATGTGTCAGCCACGTCGATAACGGATTGGGTTGGATCTTGAGCCGCTTCTTCGTAGAGAAGGCCTTCTCCGCTGAGGCCAAGAAGTTCGGCGACACCATTATCACAGACATCAAGACCGAGTTCGCCAAAAAGCTGAACGCTGCTGAATGGATGGACAAGGATACTGCGAAGAAGGCTGTCGAGAAGGTGCACAACATCGTCCAGAAGATCGGCTACCCCACCAACAGCCCGAATATCATGGACCCACCTACGCTTGAGGAATACTACGAAACCGTCAATGTTTCATCAGACGCATTCTTTGCCAATGCACTTGCCATGCGCCGCTTTGAGGTTAAAGAAGAGTGGTCCGCCCTTGGAAAGCCCGTGGATCGTGATCAGTGGGATATGTCTGTCCCAACAGTGAACGCCTACTACAACCCTCCCGGTAACGAGATCGTCTTCCCTGCTGGTATCATGCAGTTCCCAGTCTTCGACGTCAATGTACCCGCGTACATGTCCTACGGTGCTTTCGGGTCCGTTGCTGGTCACGAACTCAGTCACGCTTTCGACAGCACTGGTCGTCACTACGACCAGAACGGCAACCTCACCGACTGGTGGTCCAACTCAACAGTAGAGGCCTTCGAGCAGAAGGTCAAATGCTTTGTTGACCAATACTCCAACTTCACCGTTCCTGGCCCCGACGACAAGCCTCTGCACGTCAACGGCAAGCTCACTCTCGGCGAGAACATTGCCGATGCCGGTGGTCTCTCTGCGTCTTTCCAGGCTTGGAAGCGCCGCTCGGCCGAGACACCCAACCAGAATCTCCCTGGTCTAGACCACTTCTCGCAAGAGCAGATGTTCTTCGTCAGCTACAGCAACTGGTGGTGTGGCAAGACTCGTAAGGATACCGCCATCAACCGTGTCTACACCGATCCTCACGCACCTAAATGGGCACGTATTCTGGGTACAATGGCGAACTCAAGGGAGTTCAGGGAGAGCTTCCAGTGCAAGGTCAAGGAGCCTACGTGCCAGCTTTGGTAGATGGTGGCGGTTTGGAATGTACTGGCTTGTATGTGCCACCATCCTTTCAACATTATAACAGCTTGCTGGCACATTGAAATCACATGATGCCACATCATGCTTGATATTTACTAAACTATATATGCAATTGACGATGCAGTATTATGCCCGCAGAACCAACTCATACTTACCCGGCTTAAGCGCTATCCTCATCCCTTTCCTCTCTACTTCGTACCCATCTTCCCCAAGCCTTCTCACAACGACACTACTCTCCTCTCTCGGCAACAACAAATACCCCGTCGTACCAGTCGGCACACTAACCTCCATCTTCACCTCCTCGCCCCCACCACCAGCAACCCTCCTCTCATACCTAACCTCAATCTCCCCATACGGACACTCCACCCTCCCCTCCACAACCCCAAACTCACTCCCCAACGGCGGCCTAACCCTCCACGTCCTATACGCCTCCGTCTCCGCCTTCACCCCCAACACCCCCTCATAAAACCACTCATATATCGTGCCTAACATATCATGACACTTGCTCCTACAATTATCCTGCCAGAACTCATTCAACGTCGTTTCTCCCCGCCGTATAAACCGCATGTAGCTAGGATGTTCTTCCTGCCGCGCCATTTCCAGAATGATGTCTGGTCGGTTTAGGTCGGAGAGCGTGTTGAAGAGGTATTTTAGGCCGATCTCGCCGGCTTGGATGCGGTTGCCTGCGGAGGCGCAGTCGGCGAGGAAGGCGGTTTGGATGTCGGTGATGTGGGAGGGAGGGACGAGGTCGAATTGGAGGGCGAAGGCTTGGGCGACCATGTTGCGGTCGTGGTTTGGCGGGTTGTCGCGCGATGTGTAGAAAGCGTAGGGGTACTCTTTCTTATCGGTAATGAGAAGCCGCTCGTTGTATACGCGGTAGATGCGATCTGCCCATTCGCGGAACCGCTGCTCGGCATCTGGTTTACCGAGCTCGTGCGCCATGCGTTGGATGTTGCGGAGGCAGCGGTAGTAGATGGCTGTTTCGATGTTGGCTTGGTTGTTGCCGAAGGCGATGTCGCGGCCCCAGTCGCCGAGGCCGTGCTCGATGAGTCCGCCGTCGCGCTCTTTGGTCTTGATGTACTCCATGTAGCGCACGCAGGGGTCGAATAGCTTTTCGAAGACGTGGGTGGAGTCGTAGTAGAAGCGAAGTATCTCGGGGAGTAATGCGACGGCGCCGCCCCAGGTGATAGTGTCGTGGAGAGGGCCGCACATGTATCTGATTTCGGGTGCCATGGTAGGGCAAAGACCGTTCGGCTCTTGTGCGTCGACTATGTCATCGAGTATCTTGGAATAGAGCGACTCCATGTCGCGGATATACTGCGTGGCTGGTGCGAGAAGGTGTGTTACTTCGAGCCAGCCGAACTTCTCTAGTTGAGGACAGTCGGTGTGGTAGCTGAAGAGGTTGCTGACGAAAGACCAGTAACACATGTTGATGAGCTTGTTGACATCTTCCTTATCCGTCTTCACGTAGCCGAGACGACGTGCGGCAGACGATACGTGCCTGCTCACCACCGAGTGCACGACTGGTAGCCCTTGGCCCTCTTCTAGCGAGACACCTTCAACCTGGATGTAGCGTGCGCTTGTGAAGCAAAAGTCTGGCTCCCATGTCTCGACTCCCGTACCAGCAAGAGTGAACTTGCAGAACACGCCCGTCTCGAACTGCTTAAAGAGTGGGTCGGGCATGAGTACCTTGCCATCTTCGCCAATTGTTTCGGAGAAGCGGACGATGACTTCCGAGCCTGCTGGACCGCTGACTTGTATCTTAACCATGGTCGTCATGTTCTGTCCAAAGTCAAACATAACGACACGAGGTTCAACAGTCTTCTTCGATCGCGGTTCAAAGATCTCATGCAACACAACGGGCGGCTGACTTTGATACTTTAATTTCCCCCTCGGACCAGTCACGGGCGTCGCAGGCTTCCACTGCTCGTCCTCTTGGAAGCCCGGGGCATCCCATCCGGTCGGATAGGCGCGCAAGTCTTTGGTCTCGGAGGAGTAGATGTTGGCTAGTGTGGTCGCACTTTTACGGATACTCCAATCTGGGCCTGTAGTGATGGTCTCGTGGCTACGGTCGGGGTAGAACAGATGTAGCTCCATGAAGAAGCAAAGTTCATTGCCATATCGAACGTATGTGTTGTCTTCATAGCAGGGCCAGAAGAAACGGTCGTCGCCCTGGTCACCCGCGTAGAAGCCATTGCCGATGTGGGCGCCAAGCACATTCTCGCCCTGTGTCAATATCTTGGACAAGTCGTATGCGACGAATTGCACCGTGCGATGGTAGTTCGTCCAGCCAGGATCTAGGACATGGCCGTTCGCCGCAGCAGGATCGCCATTACACACGAAGTTAAAATGGCCAAGGCCCGATGCGAACGCAATGGCACGAGACGGCTTCCGGTCGAGATGTAGTGCCTTGCGTACATATAGCGGCTTGTCTCCGTTATCGCCGATCCAGACGCCCTTCCATCGATTTGGCTCATCTTCAAACCATGTACGGAAGATGAGGCTGGTGTGTGGCATGTAGGTCTGGTTCATGCTGTATGGCGGCAGTAACCCAGAACTTCTAGGGTATGCAGTGAAGAACTCGTTTGCTTTGCCCGTCGTAACAGTACCATCAGAATCCCATACTGTGACTCTCCAGTAGTGGAAGGTTGCCGATTCGAAACCTCCGTCAGGTGCACATAGTACATTGCGTTGCCTATCGCTTTCCACCTTTCCAGAGTTCCATACCATTTTATCCCATAATCCTGGTGTCGTGAAGACTTCAACGCGATAGGCTATTTGGCGACTGTCTTCGCGATCTGAATGGAGGACCCAAAAGAAGCGGATTTTGTCTGTGTCGATGCCGAGCGCCTCGTGGAAGCCCTGTATCCCGCATCGCGTGACTTCTAGGACCATACTGAGCGATTGCGGAATTTGGATGGCTTGTGTTCGTAAGATTGACTTGCTTGAGCGACCACAATGTCGTGCAGCATATGTTATCGGAAAGGTGGAGGTTTGGTGGCTGTTACTGCGGGAGGGTTCAACTAATCATTTACATCTTCAACTCGTCAGTCAGAGTACGCGTCGTAACAAGATGCTGCGAGATTCGGGTGAATTGGATGCGAGACCACCGACCGATGGCCTGTTAGGCGTGACATGAGTGTTTGGCACGGCCTTATCCCGACGTGGTCCCGAAGTGGAGACACGCGTCCTGCAGTCTGATTCGACAGCGAGCGCGAATGCGGGGACCCCACCAAGACATTGCAGCTTGGCCTACAGTTCGATCTTAACTCCCGACCCGTAGCGCAAGGCCTTACCGTTCGCAATAATCATTCTCCGACGTTTTGACTAATGGCGAGCACAACCTCTAGCATCATAGCAAAAGCTCGACATAGGTATCGTACCTTCTGATAGTAGTTGCAAGCTGTGGAATTTGAAGTACTGATGAAACCACGTAGAGGGCAGCATCATGTATTAGCCTGGAAAGTTCTGCGAGATACGTGCTGTTGTTCCCTCTAGCCCGAGCTTTCGCGACGGCAGTAGAGCGTGACAAGCATTCTAGGCCCCTTGTACAGTCTCCATGATCCGTGCATGGACACATGCGCGTGTCAGCCAATGCTGGCTTCGGGGCAGTAGAGTCCGGGGTAAAAAGGGACGCGAAATGGAACCACAGTCCGTTGATACATAAGTCGTGGTGTCGCATGGCGATAGATCCACTTCCCCACACACTATCTCACATCATCGCTCAAGATGGGAGTCGCTGTAACGGTCTTTAGCGCAATCTTTCTGGCGACTGGAGGTAGGATTTCCACCTGGCAAGCGCACGAGCTCACAAGCTGGGTACTGATTCATCTACAGGTTTCCTTTTCGGATATGACTCTGGTATCATCACCTCGACCATCGCCCTTCCTACCTTCAAAGAGTACTTTAACGACCCTTCGGACGATGTTGTCGGTGGTATTGTGTCCGCCTTCCAAGGTGGTGCCATCGCCGGGACCATCTTCAACATGCTGTTCGCGGACATGCTAGGCCGTCGCTGGACTATCTTCGTAGGAGCGGTCATCTCCATCTTGGGCAGTTCTCTTCAAGCAGGTGCTGTTAACATGGCTATGCTCATCATTGGTCGCTTCATCGGCGGAGTCGCAGTAGGTCAGCTCACTTCGACCATCCCTATGTACGCTGGTGAGCTGTCCGAGGCAAGGTATCGTGGCACTCTCTCTGGTTTGCTGCAGTGGATGCTGAGCTGGGGATTCTTCGTGGCTCAATGGCTCGGCTATGGCTGCTCCTTCAACAGCACTCAGTTCTCATGTAAGTCGACCTAGACATGAGTCGCTGCCTTCTCATCCTAACATGTCTCAGGGCGCTTTCCTCTCGCATTCCAGAACGTACCTGGTCTCGTCTTGCTTGCTGGCATTTTCTTCCTGCAGGAGTCTCCTCGTTGGCTCATGGAGAAAGATCGACATGAAGACGCCATGGCCTCGCTCAACAAGCTCCGAAGGGGCCACGACGCTGAGACAATCGATCTAGAATTCCGCGAAATCCGTGACGTCATTATCGCGGACCGCGCTCTGGGCAATATCAGCTGGCTCTCGATCATTACGAAAACCTCCTGGCGCAAGCGTCTCTTGCTGGGCTGTGGTGTGCAAGCATTCGGTCCGCTTTCCGGTATCAACGTCATCAACTACTACGGCCCGCGCATCTATGAGATCCTCGGGATATCGACACAAGAGTCGCTCATGATTATTGGTATCAGCGGTGCTCTCTCAATCGTGTGGTGTACCATCGGACTGGCACTAGTCGACAAGTTTGGACGTATCAAGCCTCTTCTCATATCGGCAGCGGGCCTAGCGGCTGCTCTCCTCGTCAACGCAGTACAAGGGCAATACTTCGACCCCAACAATGGCGCGCAGCTGCGCAGTATGGTGGCCATGAACTTCCTCTTCTCCTTCTTTTACACACCTCTTGGCATCATCTCGTGGGTTTACCCTGCAGAGATTTTCCCCATCGAATGCCGCGCCCTTGGCAACGCCATCACGACTTTTACAAACTGGGTTGTGAACCTCATCTTCGCCCAGTTCTCTCCCCAAGCACTCAGCACAATTGAGTTCAAGTACTTTTACGTCTTCTTCTGCTTCAATATTGTTGCTTTCTTGTGCTATTGGTTCTTCTATCCGGAGACCAAAGGCAAGACCTTGGAACAGATGGACGAGCTGTTTGGCGATCAATTGGTACCGCATGCATTGCAAGATCCGGCGGCGGCATCGGCGGCTATGGAGAAGGACGAGAAGCTTCATGCGGAGATTGCAGTCGTCTGATCGCGGTTCCGTGCGGCCGGTGCATGCTTTGGGTAGAAGGGGTTTCAGAGGAAAGCTGCAGGTGGCGTTGTTCGAAGGTGAACATGTGATACGTACGCGGCGTCTATAGCGACTTATTACCAGATATACGATCTATAACCTTCCGAAATTGCCATTGCGATGTGTACAGACGGAATGTATGAGCATGTTAGTGCCTCATGAAAGGAACAATAACAATCGGGTTGGCGCGGGCAGGATGTCGATTCCGGACGGCGGAAAGCAACCGGAACGAGCTAGTGCGTAAAAGGAAAGGCGCTACGCGTCATCGATTATAGGAGGTGCACGTGCCAGGGGACTGATCTAATCCATGGATGGACCTTCCCCAGCCCCCAACGAAACTCACACTCTGCATTCAATCGTCGCTATGCGGAGCTTCTTACTCTCCTCCAACAGCTCGAGGTGTTTTTCCATGTCGCCGCGCAACACCGGTTACTCTTCGCCATCCTAGTCATTTGAGCGTCTATCAAATAGATCAGTACCATGGCGAAATCACGACATGTGCTGTGGAGAACTACACGATATGAAGGCTCATTACACATGAGCAGCAGAGAGACCTCAAGTCGAATTTGCTCCTCGAAAGAGTTATTCCTGGAAGCTAAGGTTGTCGTTACAGCACGCACTAAACGCTTGGATACTGCGAGCATTCCTACGGAAAGACACTGGTCTGCAAACACTCGCTGCTCTCAGCGGAGGTCTAATATGTCCTTCAAGGGTATGGAAGAATCTCCATCTTCAAGGAAAACGTGAAGCGTACCTTGTCCCAGGAGACGCACACGATGGAAGCTCTTTTCACCCCAGGTATCCTGCGTGTGCACAACGCTGCATCGAATGACGAGCTTTTTGGAACTTGTACTTTTTATAGTATGGTCTTTCGCGTTCCCTATTCGAAGTACGGATCTTCTTTCCATTTTATTGTCTTCGACACCTCCGGATTAACCACGTCATCAAAGGTCCTGATTAACTTGTGACTCATGGCAGCAGTGTCGAGAATACTCCGCGAGACGCGGACTAGCATTGCATTGCAAGTTCGCGTGAGCTTTTTGACGCAGCTCTAGGCACCCGTGGGGTTCAGTCTAGTATGAGTAACACGGACCTTGTAGGGCTTCTCCCCCGCACTCGAGACTTGGGGTGCGACCCGAAAGTGGAAACGAAGGGATTTCTGTGTGGCGACTCTCGCCGTTTCCAGCTCAATGAAGGCGTCTTGCGCACTTGGCTTAGACTCTTCGTTCCTTATATAAACCCTCTTTCTCTCTCGTGTTGTAAGTCAAGCTGATAACGTAAAGTCAACAGCGTTTCCGACTCGCCAGAAACCTGTCGCACACCCCGATACTAAGCCTGACTGTTCGCTGTTATCCTTACACCTCTTCCCGGAAGCCATAAGGAAATCTCTTCAACGGTTATTAGGCCCAGAAGCCTCCTTCTCAGCTCGTACCCTCCAGCCCATCCTTGACGGCGAAACCACAACGTCATTGCTACTGGCGATATCTTATCTCGAACCCCAAACCAGAGGCCCCTCCACCAAATTTCTGCAGATTACAGCAAATCAAATTCGTCCGTATCACTGCGCATACGCGTTCCAGCCTCGATGTCTCCTTCCAGCACACCAGGACGACTTCCAAAGATAGCCAGCAGTTCTGGCTCCGAGCCAGTCAGACCAATACGTCGGAAGCCTCTGCATGCAACCAGCTCCAACTACAACAAACGTCAGAATGGAGATTTCGACAATCGCCACTCTGATCGCCCACCGGGCGCCGGCGATGTGTCTCTCGATCACCTCATATATCCTGACGAGGACGTGGGCTATAGGCCAGTTCTTCGTTCGCATCGCACAGCTCATCAAGTTCGACAAGACACTTGCTCCATACGAAAGGACGGAGACTCGCAATCGGATGAGGAATTTACACCTTCGTCCAAGGAAACTTCTTTACCTGACAAGGACTCCGTCAATCACTTCGAGACTATCCCTGCAGGTCCTGGTGTAATCGCTGCACTCCGAAAGCACATTTCGGCAACTCTCCTTGCAAAGCTTCCCGGTTTGAGCGACATCGATTTCTCAAGACATAGCAAGCCATCGTCTATAGCAAATCTGCGCTTGCTACTTGGAACCTACACTGAAAGGTCCCTAAAGAAGTGGGGCAACCCTGTGTATGCATACCTCAGTCCGAATGCGAATTCCTCAATCGGCCCTAAGTTCATCATGGAGGTCGATGAAAGACACGGACATGGAGGACATGACGTTGTGGAAGTCACATGGTATGAGGCTATATTTGAGCAGAGGGTCGCAACAAAACTTCCCTTCAAACAAGCTGCAACTAAAGACGAACTGTATGCCGTGGTTAAGTACTACTTCCTGTTGGCGGTAGAGGCGGGAGTGGAGAACTTTCACCATGACTTCATCCCATTGAACAGGTCCTTCGTCCAGCACCTGACTAGCTTATGCCTGCATTATGCGCCAGACCTTCGGACACCGACGCATTCCACTGAGGGATACACATACGATGAGGAGCCACCTCCACGATATCCTACGAAGTTTGATCGACGGCGTCCCCCAGGCTATGAGAAAGTGCCGGGTGTAGCAAAGGTCCAGCAGTTTCCGCAGGTCAGCATCGATGCGTCCGGTTTTAACCTTGGCAAGAGCGACAATAGCAATGCAGACGACGAGTCTTCCAGTCTGCAGCGGTCCAGACACAAGAGACAAGCTTCCCGAATGTCAGGCTTCGCAGCCGAAACATCTTCGCATGTCTCAGCTCAACGAGGGCGCAAACCCATCACTGCCTTCTTCCGCAACGATCGACCAGCCCTATCACGTCCCCGTAGTCCGCACGAAGAAGTTTCAGTTCGCAGCTCGACACCTCCGCGCAATGCCATCTCCTCGTGGTTGAAAACAATGACTGAAGAGCTAAAACTGCATCCGAATGCTCTGACTATCAAGGCGCGATCAGAAAAACGGCTGGAGCTGGAGACCAACCAATCCATGTCGGATGCAATTGACTGGCCGCTGCGAGGATCGTCGCCGCAAAGCTCGGTGTACTCTGTTTACAAAAACATGGACCATTTTTCGAACCGCGACCAGGGCAGCTTGGTTAGTGGTACAGACAACTCCATTTACTCGTTCTCGGATCAATACGCCTCAAAGCCCGATGAAGAGTGCGCGAGCTTGACGCACCTCGCGATGACAGAGCCACTCCCTGATAAACATCGGCACGATGTAGAGTGGAGAGCGTTCCGTACTGCTACTGCTTCTCTTCCGGGAGTAGATAAAGATCGTCGTGAGCGCCGCACATCGAGGAAAGCAGAACGGTCTCGCAATTCAATCGTCAACCGCCGTCCTAGCTCCACTTGTGGTTCGGTTGTTTCAACATCTTTGCTTCAGCGTCAAAAGAAGGTCATTGATAGTCGCGTCGAAAAGACACTTCATGACATCGAGGATCACTACATTCGACTGAAGAAACTCCGACAGCATCAAACCAGCATCAAGGCGGAGATGGTAGAAGTGAAGCGCCGTGAAGAGAAGGAGAACCAGTTTGGAGACGAGGAGATGGCGCGCTGGGAAGACGGAGTGGATGGTGCTGACGATAGTAACAAGGTGAGATTTGAGAAATGGTCGAAGAGGCAAGAGCATTCATACGGGAAGAGAGGCTATTAGGTCGATGTGACGGAAGAAGGGCTAAGGCCAAGATGGTAGATGGTATTGAATGTCGCGTGAGAATGGGTGACGCGGTCATGGTCTTTTCACTTCCTGGACGTCAGTGTGTTTGTTGTGATATAGTGACTGTAGCGACGGAGCAGCAGGGATACAAACACTGTCATGATAGCTATGCGAGAAATAGTAGCTTGACGCGCGCTCCTACTTCTTTTGCTCAACTCAGCGCGTCCACGTCAAGCGTTTGCTGTCTAGGTAGACTCTGGTAGGATCCAAGCTCCATGCAAACAAGCGCGCAATCTAGACTAATCTTGTCAGCTCTTGTTGCAGCAGGAATGTACTCGCACACACAAACTACTCAATGAACGCGTTTGTTGCAGTCTCCAAACACTACTTAATCAGATCAATTCAGCAGGGAGAGGTGGAACGTAACTAGGTATAATCATCCACTTCCAAGACATGACTGTAGCCAACGACAACCTAGCCGAAATCCAAGCGAATCTGGGCGCTCTGCTCGATAACGCGCCCTACGACGAGGTAATCAAGTCTCCACAGACCTATGAACCTGGCGCCATCTCCTTCAAAATACGTTTCGGTCATATCATCGACAAGCAAAGCAAGACGCAGCAAGAAGTTTGGGTACTTCTTTATCCACCCATCAACGAAAAACGACATGCTGAAGTTCGATTTCACTCATTTCATCCCGATACGGGGGCTTTGGTCTGGTATGACGAGAGCAACATCAGCACTACGGTCTCCACACTCGCCGATGCGTTCCGCAACCCCAAGAAAGCGACGAAGCACAAACACGTGGCATTGGCGAAGTACTACTATCTGAAGGCTCTCGCTACGAAGGAGACGGAGACAGAGACAGAGACAGGACGCGCCAGTGAGCTGAAGATACCTATACCGATAACTCAGACGCTTTTGGAAAGCTTGAGAGTCGTTTGCTGGGAGTTTGAGGAGGAGGCAAAAAAACTACAGTCAGACACACTCGGAGAAGGTGATGGTAGCGATCTCAGCGATCCACCAGATGACCTTCTTAAGCCTACTCAGCAGCCAGTAGATTCGGTCTCAATAGTCACTCCGAATCTTTCGCACATCCCCGTAAGCAGGCTAAGATACCTTGAACTTGTACTAGTGCTAACTTCTCTAGACTTCGAATTCCCAGCAGGTTGATACTCTCCTCGCGGCTCTCGACGAGGAAATCCAGCTCCAGAGTTCCAACAACAAGCTAGTAAACGAGAAGACTGAGTTAGAGACTGCGCGCCAAGAGATCGCAGAAAATCTTCAGAAGGTGGAAGAAGAACTTCAGCGGAGGGAGCAGCAGCTCCGGGCCAATGATGAAGAAAGGGCATCGATCGAGATTCGCCGGAAACAGGTAGTGGAAGGGTTGAGTGCTGCGGACGCGTTTGAGCTGGGTAGATCGATGGAGCGTGAAGTGAAGCGTCGGAAGCTCGATTGATGTCCCAGAAAGAAGGACTCTTTATCCTGTTTTGTTAGCGATACGCTTGAATACCTGGGGAGCATAGCCTACCCAGAAGGCTACGTAGCGCTTTACTTGTATAATTTGTAACGTACAATGCATTGTGTACTTGCAAGATACCAATTCATCCATGGTCAAAAGATAGGCAGAAAAGATATTCCTCGTTGCAACGTTGACCCATTTGATAACAGAAGAATGATTCAGCAGTAGTGAATGGTTCAGAAGCGACTAATACGCTCTTGTGACTAGCGTATCCCTCCGAGTATATGACCGCTTCTCTTGACCACTGCAGTAGGCGCTCCTTCCGCTTTTGCACCATTTGCTCTATCTATCCCGAGACTCCAAAGCCGCGGGCCATTGTGACTCTCACCACCATGTCCGCCCCATCCCCCCAACCCGACGACAGCCCTTCCTACGCTAAACTCAAGCGCGACCTTGGCGACGACGCGCCACTCCTCAACTTCCTACCCTACAAGCGCGCGACTTTCGAGCCTCAGAACGAGATCGCCGAAGCAGCGCCCGAGCGACTCCTCTATGGCGACATGATGGAGAGCAAAGGCTCGCTCTGGATCTACTGGACCCTCAACTACCACAACAAGAAGAAGAGCCACCACGACTACCGGATGATAACCTTCCAGACTATCGAAGGCGCAAAAGGCCATGAGGCCGGCGTGCGTCCGGGCTCGGTTCAGAACGTCGCATTAGCTTCAGCGCCTTTCAAGCATGCGAAAGACCAGGATGCGGTCGCAGCTATCGCGAAGTACTTCTTTATCCGTAGAGGTATCGATATGCAACTGCAGTATCCGGTGTCGTCTGGCCCGTTCAAAGAGGCCCTTATGCGCGTGTGTCAGTATTACAAAGCCATATACAACGAGACGCAAGCCAACAAGGCAGCAAGCCGACGTTCATCGGTCATGCCTACTGGAGGTCGCGATCAGAGTGTCGTTTCGCAATTCCAAGACCCACGAGAACCTTCGTATGCAGCTCCGTTAGCGCCATCAAGACCGGTGTCGCGCGCGCCATCCCGTCCCAAGAGCATGAGCAGTAGGGACACTCGCAAGCGCAGGCACAGTTCGGGCTCAAATCTCGACCGTCAGCCTGAGACAGAAAAGCACAGCGCTCCTCGCGAGGAATCTAGCAACTTCTCATCCTATTCCAGACCACCTTCCCCGTTCCTCGCGTCGGTTCAGCCTTCCCTTCACGAGCGCCCTGAAGATGAAGAGATGCGAGACCTTCCCATTAGTAACAACAACGAAGCAGATCAAGTACAACCAACCGACGGCGCGCGCCCGGACGACATCGACCGCGAGACGATGATGGATCAATACATTGCGCTCAAAGCCCGGGAAGAAGATCTTGATAGTAGGATCAGCGACATGGAGGCGGAGCGTGTACGTATTGCGGACCAAGTAGCGGGGCTACAAGCGGACATCAACACGATTGGCAACCGACAGGGCGACTTGAAAGAAGAGAAAGATCGCGTGCGAGCGGAGAAGAAGCAGCTGCAGATTCAGCTAGATAAAGATGAGCATCTGGACTTTGGGTTTGAAGCTGGACGGAGGATGGAGACTAAGCGTCAACGGCGGGAGTAGTCTCCGGGAGGCACGGACCTACCCTCGACGCACTGCTTGGTGGTGTTGAAAATTGCATGTTTGATGGTTGGTTAGAGAAATGGCGGGGTTAGATCCTGCGTTCTTTTCGCATGACCTGGGAGGAGCAAGGGATGACTAGCTGCAGATGGACGTGGCCCGAGGAGTATACCCAGGTAGCTCAAGTTACCGGTAGAGACGAATTGATCGCATGCGCAGAAGTAGAACTGGTAACAGATGGACTCTCTACAACATCTCAACGCTTTGATTCAAATTAATTGGCAATGTGTCGATGGAAAGGGGGAGAAACTGGAGGAGCTGTGAATTGAGTTTCAGGAATCCTGAATCAGCTAGTGGCCCCCGCAAGTTGGATGACGCATGACGTAATCAGTAAATGCGCCAACGGTAAAACTCTTGGCTCCCCAACGTAAATTCGCGTCGCGTCCTCGCGATCGAATATTACCCCAGCCGCTTCCAGTGCGTACGAAGAAGGTAAACCTGGGTCTTATCGAGATCTGTGGCCTACGCGAGATTGCGTTCACGCCAACCACGTCACGCACGTTCGAACACCTGCAGGTGTAAACGACCCACATCGCGCCAAGGGAAGAGCGGTCTGAACAACGATTGACACGATTTCTATTTTGTACTTTCCAATATATCTTATTGTACTCGAAGCTCTGATATCAAGACAACATTATTCTTCAATCCTTCTACAAGCTTCCCGTACTTATTCAGAGCCCGCACAGCCCTTTCCAGCCCCACAAACAAATCATGGATTGTTCCGACGGGTTCTCATTCAATGATCTCAATTGGATGAGACAAAACGAGATACCAAATACTGTGAAGACAGCGCTACTATATGGCGAGATCCGTGGAACGGGAGAGAAAGCTGATGTCTGGATCTACTTGGACAAGGCCACGACGTCCCTCATCTGGCAGATCTACTACCCCGAGGGTGACGCCAAGCCTCAAGTCATCACCGTTGAAGAGGCTCTGGAGAAAGCGAAACCCTGTGCCTGGTTCAAGCTTGCCACAACCCCGGAGAAGCTGGAGGCCTTGGCCACATACTATTTCGCGAGAAAGAAGTTGACGAAGAGATACCAACCGAAACTTACGTTTGAACAAAACCGACTACTCAAAGCCATGCTCGGTAGTGAGGCCCCATCCAAAATCGTCAAATTACGAGTTCGTGTCCCCGAACATCTTGGTCGAGAACAATCACCAGAAGCCCTGGTTGAACCTCAACAACCTTCAGAGGTCGTTCCAAGTCAAAGAGCCCGCTCAAAGTCAACGATATCAGTCCATCAGCTACCCTCGCCATGCAGCACTACCGACTACGACGCAAAGGTATGTTACGAAGGATACAGTTGTAACACATGTCATCTAACAGCATGCAGCGCGATGGTGAATCACGAAGATTGAGTGGTGCAACTTTGATCGAACCACTCGACCCAATCGACCGCTACTTTGATCTCGAAGACCGAATGGAGACCGCCTGCACCAACATAAAGCGCCATAACAACCGAATAGAGGACCTAAAGCGGAAGAGGTCGGAGATTGAGAAACAAATCAATATGGAGGCGGAAGCTGTAGAGTTGCTCATCGCTGAGAGACATCAAGCCAAGGTCGCGAAGGACCGACTTTGGAATGTGTTGTCGAGGGAAGAGGCCTACGAGCTGGGTCGCCTCGACACCGCAAGAAAGATTGCCAGACTCGATTGAGCTCAAAGCCGATTCATGGCCTGATGTCGGCGTACTGCCATCTTTTGGAACGAACGATTTGGATGGAAGTGGATGCATCGCTCTACGAGTAGTCACGCAAGCCAGTCTACGACGACAAGTCGCCAGACAGGAACTCCGATCCTCTGCGATTGATACCCAGGCGCGAAGAACATCGCAATACCGGCCACCAGTTCTCTCAGACTTTACTTCGGGACTTCGTCTATTCGCGCAGATCTCGTCGCGTGGATATCATTTGGGTTGCGGACGTCGTGGCTGGCACGTCGCTACGTAACATCGCAGTACTAGTGGACGGCAGCCGAACTATCACATTGCGCACTCATGCGAGTCACGGGAAGCAACGCGTATAAAACTACTCGACCGCACGTCTATCCTCATCATTAAACACCACTACCCTCGCTGCCAAAACGAAAGCCTGCACCGACTGGCAGCGCGAAACTCGCTCCATGACGAGGACCAACGATCGAATAGGCCGAAGCATCGCGCTATCAACAAATTCTTCCTTAGACTTCATTGAGGCGTCACAATACCAACATGCTCCTGATGATTGACAAGCATCGAATAGCGAAAGGCGAAGTCGCGGAGTAAGCATGCAGATGAGCTGCCTGGCAATGCTCAGCGACGCGAAGCCAAGATCTGCGCTTCAGACACCAAGCAGACCTGCTAGTCCAGACCTTTGGAAACCTGATGTCAGGAACTGGATGAGGAGTTTGAAGATGGAACGCGAGCGTTGTGGCGCTGTAGTTGGGACGCATGAACGATGTAGGAAAGTTTTAGAACACACTACCGTGTGGAATACAATACGATAGCTACGTGATTACAGCAACTTCTAGAGTCTCCGTAGTCTGCGAACGTCATACTGATCGTACTGCTACTGCCGCTGCTACCACGGTACCAAGACAAGTCCCCGTCCAAGCCATTAACGCCGTACTAGCAAAGCGTACACTAGTCTTCCTCGCTGCTGTCGGTCTCAGACTTTGCACCCTTCTTTCCCCACTTCGACGCTCTCATCATCATCTCACCTCCAAGAACGAAGATAGCGCGCTCCTTCGGGGTGAGTGACGACTGAAGATGCTTCATCTCGACTACAATGCGCCGGTTCTCTTCCTTCAGTTCCCGCCCCTCCACCTGCATGTCGGCTAGCTGCGACTCAAGAGCTTTGATCTCATCCCGCACATCCTTCTGCTTCTCCTTGTTGATCATGATGTTTTCCTTGCACCTGCTCTTCTTGTCGAGGGCGTTACGATAGGCGTCGGGGAAGTCGGGGAAGTCAATGGATGATTGCGAGTTGGGGCTCTTCTCGACCTGGTAGCCTGTTAGTATACAACGGGTTTTAGATGATCAGGGGAAACTTACGAGGACCTCTGTAGAGTCTCGGCGTGTTGATGAGGTACGCGAAGTGTCCATAGCGTCACTGTTGTCCGCCTCAATGGGGTCCGAGTGGATGAGGAAACCTTGGCCTGTGTTGACCATTGCCGAGGACGAGGGTTGTACTGTAGCCGTCGGAGGAGTCGATCGCAGTGGTGGTGTGCTCGTAGTCAGTCGCTTCCTGGGTAGATCTGGGGTCATGGTGCGAGCCCTCTTGAGAGAATCGCCTTCGGGGACAAACAAGGTCGGTTCTTTTGGTACTGCGGGAATCATAGAGACCGTAGGAGCGCGCTGAGGGGTGGGCTGCGGAGTGCGCCTGGCCTTGGCCAGTTTGACGGGTGGGCTGACCACTGCAGGCTGGCCGTTCACCTTCACCACCGAGCCAGCTCTTACTCCAGACTGAGAGACTGACCGCTTGACAGCGTGCACGTCCTGGGCGGGCGAAGCGTGCGTCCTCACCACTGAGCCATCTCCTTCTGGCCTAGACTGAGAGACAGAGGGCTTGGTACTGTACGCGTTCTGTGCAGCAGAGGCGCGTGACTTCTCCTTCTCAATGTTCGCGGCCACCTTTACAGCGTACTCTCCAGCCGTCTTGCATGCCGCAGTCAGCCAAGTGGTGAGATAACCATTGACTATCCATGGCACTGGTGTATTAACGCCCTTGAAGATGAAGTAGTACTTGATCACTACGCGGAGCTGGTCCAAATCCATAGTGCCCGCTTTCTTGAGGCACTTGAACGCATTTGCCTCAAGAACAAGTCTGAAGAGGTCAGTACGTGTTCTACATTAGCTCATAAAGCAGGAATTACTTACCTCACCGCTTCCTCCGCGCTTATGCCTCCTCGGAGCTTGCCGAGACGGTCGAAGATGTTGAAGCGTTGCTCGGGTGAGCGGCCAGCGGCGTGGTCGTTCTGCAGCAGAATCCACACCTGGCAATCTTTATCCTTCCCATCCTTGATGGTGCCGAAGAGCATACGAAATGGCATCATATTTGGACGCTCGTTCTTATGGTCAACGAAGGCGACAAGCCGGACCTTGGCGACAGGGAGATGATGAAGAAGTGGGACACGGGCTTGGGTTTCGGCAAGGGCCGTATCGGCCGCACCTACTTGGTTTTCCATTGAGACCAATGCCGAGATTGAAGCAGGTGCTTTCGGTGTAAGGTAGCTGAGTTGGTTGTCGCGTCTTGTTTTGTGTTGATCCCGGCGTTTGCATTGTATGAATGGGGTTAGCGTGGCTCTAGCGCGCTTTCGATGGAGAAGGTGTAGCCTAGCCATGAGGTACCCGGGAGGTATTCGCTGTATTTTATTTGAGCTTTTGTTTCTGTGGACGACATTGAGTACCTCCTGGGTACAGTTCATGCTGGTGCAACTCTGCGAACATACTCTATCAGTACCTGAGTACCTGGGAGCTTTCCATTACCACGCACACCGTTGAGCATGTCGCAGTCAGCGCATCAGCGCTGTGAGGTCTTCCGATTAGATGTATGACGACCCAGCTGCTACGGAATTTGTAGGCCTGATCTGTGCGTCGATTTTACCACTAGCGTTCAGTCGGCTCTGATTTTGCATTTGCTCTCGCCTTCCCAGATATCAAAGTTCAACAATAGTACTGTATCGCCTGCCAATGACAACTGCGGAGGAGACTCAAGCGACTCTGCCCTTACGATGGCAGCGCTGCATCAACAGACTGAACGCCACGTTAGTCCGCCGCGGCTTGTTCACAGTCATAGAGGAAGTGCTCTCTCCTGCTACACCCACATTCGACCAGGCAAGTCTACAAGGACATAAGGCTCTGAGGATCTTTCTCGGGAACCGGAAGCAGAGCGATGGGATGTCGGTTCCCGTATGGGCGTACATACTCCTTGATAGCAATGGAAGTGAACCATCGATCGTGTTCCGCGACGAGGTGCAGCTTCACTACAATGGTGCAAATACACTTCGACTATACCCGCGATCTGCGTCGTCTCTACTGCGGAAAGCGAACCATCTCAGATCGCCTTTCTGTCTCTTACATCAAGAAACAGATGGAGGTGTCAAGGATGGACGCGGTATGCTATGCGCAGTCATCGCCTACTATGCGCTGATAGCGGGTATGAGCGACTGTGCCATCCGATGGCGTCGGTTTGACGCCTGTATGATTGCCGCCCTGGATTATATCAATATTACCCTGAAATGGATAAGCGAAATGCAGCATGAGCCGACGCCCAGCACAGCGACAGCCATGAGACCTTCACTCATCGTGAGACTCCCCATAGGACGAGAGGCTCTTGCAAAGATACTAGGACTTTCCCATGGCTTCGAAGTTCCAGACAGCGAGGACGAAGAGGATATCATGCTTCCCGATGAAGACATCCAAGACCAGCCAGATATCCCAAACCCCATGCACCAATCCGCAGTCCCCGTTCTAGAAGAGGTACCAGACACCATCGACAGCGTCTTCGGAGACGACGTGGCCGGCGTCGCAGAGGAAGTCGACAGCGTCATCGGGGATGCCAACGACAGTATCATTGTGGCAAATAGCAGATCCCAAGTACACGGAAACGAGCAAACATGCTATCCCTCGTTAACGATCAGGAAGCGCAAGCTGGAGGATGTTACGGCAGGAAGCGATGGCGACGTGGTTGAGGACATGGATGGGCACGGTTGGCGGCAAGCTTCTTGGGGCCGGTCGCGAAGGAGGTAGGGTGGTTGAATTGGAGGAATTAAGAGGGTGATGCGGAAGGTCACATTGTACAGTAGAGTGTTCCAAGGTTGGGGTATCGTCACTTCGGAGTCAGGATGGCAGCGGCGAAGGCCGGTTATTACGTTTCCCGCCCGAGATTTTGCCGGTTGCTGAAGCTAAACCCATCGTGAGCTAGCGCATTCTGCACACCTGGGCAATGCCGACAGCCCATCTTCACACATCCTGCCTCGATAACTACAGCTCACTCCTCTCACCAGACGTCTCTCTACGCCCTTTCTCATTCCCTTCCAGCGCCGCAACCGCCTCATTACTTGCCTTCAAATGCTCGAACTTCGGTGCATCCTCTCCCAATCCCCATGCAAACACACCACCAAGCCCCTTATCCTTCATGATGATCTGCATCTTGCGCTTAATAGCCTCAGACGTATCCCAGGTCCAGAATAAGTTTTCCTCGGCATCCCAGTAGTACTGTCCACCACCCTCCTCGTCATACGTACCGTTCTCCATCGCACGCTCATATGATGCGGAGAGTTCTTCAGGAACGGCGTCGTGCCATGAGAATGCGCCAGCTTTCCCTAGGTCAGCGCCTGTAACAGGGTCTTCCATGAGTTCTGTCGCGCAGCCGATTGGATTGACACTGCATGTCGCATTCGCGGCGGTCTTGTACCATTTGATGTAGAATGCCAGTCCCAAGTTCGCCTTCTCAGGCGGTACGCCGGCGTCGAGATATGCATCGATGGCTTCGAGTGAGTTCTGGATACCGGTATGATGCTTTGTCACGTTGTCGCGGCGGTTGAACATGTCGTATGTCATGATGTTCAGGTAATCGACTGACTCCATGATGGCGGGGATGGTGGAAGGTATGAAGGCCAGCATGTCGCGTGGTAGACCGGGCACTGCTGCTGAGATAGTCTTCTCAGGCCCTACTGCCGAGCGAATTTCTGCCAGTAGCTTGGGGTAAGCGACTATCTCCCAAGCTTTGTTGGAGTTGAGATGGCCAGGTGTTTTGTAGTCTTCGCCGTTGCCGCCTGGGTATTCCCAATCCATATCGATACCTTATGAGGTCAGCTTCTTCTTTCATTAGGCCTGTTCGTGTGCGACACACCATCAGCGCCTGTCGCATCGAGCATAGCCTTGACGTTGCTAGCGAACAGCTTCCGGCTTTCCTCTGTTCTGGCCGCTGCCGAGAAGCCATCCGTATCGCCCCATCCGCCAATCGCGACTTGGATAATCATTCCATCCGCAAACTTGGGCCGGACTTCTTCAATGGTAGTGAAGAGCGGCCATTCATCTTGCTCTGGATTGTTGAAGGTATCAGATCGCATGAAGGCGAGGGCCACATCAGTAATGTTTGACACCAGATTTCGCTCTGGCACCACGTTATGTTGCCTGATAATCATCAGCGACGTTGTTTCATGTAGTACTCAAGCTCTGGCTTTACCCTGTCAGATACATGATGTACTTCAGTCTCGTCGTGGTGGACGATGCAGCAGCGAACGTACAGGCCAAACAGAGCCATAGCCAAAATCTTGCAGCCATAGTTCGTGATCTTTCTGGAGGGCAAGACCTTTTCAAGCGAGCACTAAGACGTGTCCAGCCGGGCGTGGTATGGTGACAGTGGCTGATGGTAGCGGGTCCCGAAGATGCCCCGCAGCTGACTAGGCCATTCACGGACTAGCGTCTTTGGTCGACTGCCCAGGTGTCGTACCTCCAGAGTAGTGCCCGGCAGTCGCGTCTCGTTGAAGGTCAACCCCGAGAGGCCTCGGCCATCGCAATGGCGAAGCCTACGGCTGCCCTGGACGGAGCTGGATCGGATCTCATCGAGCGTCATGAGTTGACAATTGCTTATTGTGGCTTGCCCCGCTGTCACTGGACTGGCTGGAGACGTTGCGCGATTGGTAGGAAGAAGCCAAGAGCTTCAGCCTGGTCGGTCTGCTGAAGGAGATCTGCGACCTTTCATCCTACATCCCTTCTCCAGCATTTCTTCTACCTCCTTGAGGGCGTACGTTCACGCAAACGTTATATAAGAAGCGCAACCATGTCCACGCCCACGGCGGCCGGCTCCCTATCGCCCTACGAAGCGCCCCCTTTATCGCAAGGAGAGATACGGGTTCTGGAGGTTGCGCCCGCAAGTTTCGGTGAGCCCGTCGAATGTACCATAAAACGCATCTCGCTTCTCGACGATCCGGTGCCATGCTACGAGACGATATCGTATTGCTGGGGACCTCGGCGAAATCCGTCGACTATAATGCTCAATGGGCATCTGGTAGAGGTGCCGGCAAGTTCGGAGGCCGCTGTCAGGCGCATGCGACTCAGCGACCGACCGCGAGTACTCTGGATTGATGCCATATGTATCGATCAGTCATCGACGACAGAACGCAGTGCACAAGTAGCTTTCATGGCGACCGTATACAGCACCGCGAAGCACAATCTCGTTTACCTTGGCGAAGATGACGAAGATATGGCTGATAGAGGTATGAAGGCTCTCGAAGTCGTTGCGGACGACATGCGCGCCGCGACTGCAGACTTCACCCTAGTGTGGGAAACCATCCGCAATGAGAATTCGGGTGCCATTGTATCCTCAAACGAACCGTTTAGCGCGGATGTTGATTTCGAATCTCTTGAAGCTCTTTTCAATCACCACTGGTTCAGGTAAGACTATACGTCCACCATTCTACGTCGAGTTGAATTCAGCGATTATAGACGTTTGTGGGTGCTTCAAGAAGCGATCCTTGCATCATCGAATACCTGCCATTGGGGTACTTATACTTCGGATCTTGTCGATACAGTACGAGCTGCAGCATGGCTCATGTACAAAATTCGATTCATTCCTGGTAGCCTTGAGAGTAGCGTTGGCTTGCGCTGTGCCTCTGAGATGTTCGACATCATCTACCCCGACTCTCGTTTCGCTTCGAGGTGCGAATATCTAGCCAGTATATTCGTGACCATTGGACTATTTGAAAAGACCGAGCCAAAAGATGGTATCTTTGCCATTTTGGGCTTACTGGACAAAGAAACATTATTAGAAAGCAGCCAAGCGGCATTGCTTGAGGTTGACTATACAAAATCGCTTTCTAGCGTGTTGCGAGATGCTACACGGTATGCTCTGTGTCAGAGAGGCGATGTACAAGTTTTTGGCCTGATCAATCACCACTTCGATGTGTTAGACGATTGCCAATCGTTTCCGACATGGGCCATTCGGCCAGATCTGCAACGAGAAATTAGGGACGCTACAAATCTACCTATCCATCACAATGCTAGTGGCGGCCTCGAGGCGCCATCTTTACTTCATGATGTTTCTCTTGGCGAAGGAGTGCTGCTTCTCCAAGGAATAGTGGTCGATGAAGTATGTCAAACGACCGCCACGTGCCTAGGAGGTACCTACAATAGCGACGAGGACTTCCATGAGTGGCTGATCTCTGTCATGGGTACAGTTTTGCGCCACTGCAACGTCGCAAGTCGGGAAGAGCTCTATCTAGCCACGGCTTTCACTCTTGTGGCTGACGCAACCTGGGGTGGACGACGTGCACAGTCGAGTGATCTGCAGGTACTTCTAGATTATCTTAAGAGCTTGACCTCGAACAAAATTGATGGAGCCTCAGGTGGAGTCAGGATCACGAAAGGCTTTGACCAGGGAGAGACAGAGTCGTTATTCGACGCTTCTTACTTGAACAGTACTAGAAATCGCCGTTTCTTCGTCACCGGGACTGGGCAAATGGGTATAGGACCGCGTTGCATGCAACCCGAAGACATCGTTGTAGTCCTCAGAGGAGGAAACAGACCCTTCATCCTACGGAAGAAAGGTGATGGTTACTGGTTCCTTGGCCAGGCTTACGTACACGGCATCATGGACGGCGAGGCGGTGCAAATGCACAAAGCTCGGGGCGGATCAGAGGAGGTATTCCACATACGATGAAGACGAAGTCTTTCGGCAAGAAGTACCTGACTAGAGTGCAGCTCTGGTGAGATGGAGTAACGAAGTGTGCGAATAGCCCTGTTTCTTTGACATCCACGCAGACTCTATGACACACGCTTAATGCGATGCTAAACCAGAAGCTTAGAACTCAGAGCACGGAGTCACATCGAGACAGTGAATCAGTTGTCTAAGTCTTGGTCCAAGCAGTGCGGAGGAAGGTTGTTGGATGACAACTACCGTTACCGAATATCCACCTCCCTCACGAGAAGACCATCCAGGCTCGAGCGCGGAAGACAAGAGAAGACCTTCGATGGAGCTTCCTGCTTCTCCCTCCGAGATCCGATCCAAGTACTAAAAAAAGAGCGTAAACATTCAACAGCGGGGATGCCCCAGTGCTTACCCACCCAAGTACGAAATACGCCGGTACGATGCCGGCTTTCGAGATTTTGCATTGACGACATTATCGAAAGGGTTCTCCAAGGACTGCTGCAATACTGCCAGCGCTGCTGCAACCCACCTTTACGAGCGAGAAGTAACATCGTCGTGTGATCTTCCATCGTATTCGACTGAAGGCGACCACATCTGTCTCCCAATGCGAATGTTCACACCGTTAGTCTCGAAGGCATATCCTCGGCATGAATGTTTTCTGGAGAGGACATTGCTGTCTCTATTTTAAGCGGTGGGTCGGCAGAGACCGCCACCAATCAGCATCGAACAAGGGGTGGCGCTTTACCGGTCCCGGCTACTCGCCAAGGGCTTCGGGCCTATGCCGTGGCAATTATGCGTCATTTCCGCCCAAAACCTCCGTAGCGCATCATGGGTGGGGGGCGCGCCACAGCCGGTGCTGGCCATTCCAGGGTCACAAAACTGGGGATACGATAATTTGGGCTCGTGTTTTGACTGGATGAAGTCATAGCGTTGCACTTTGGTCGTCGGCGCCGAGGGTGTGTGCACTGTCCAGCCTCGCCGACGGCAGGCATGATGTAGGACAAGGGGAGAAAATACGAGATGGCATTTTGGATATAAGAGAGATGGGATGCTGCTGTCTTTAAGCCATCATCCAAACATCAACTCATCAACTCTACACTAATACTTAATCACCACAACCACCACTCCAACACTCCAACAACACCACCTCAAACCATCAACATGAAGTTCACCGCCGCCGCCGCCATCGCCTCCATGGCCGCCATCTCCTCCGCCCTTCCCCAGGCGTCCGTCTTCCCTCGCCCCGAGGCCGGCGATGTCTTCCGCCTGATGTCTCTGCGCTCTGCCACCCCCATCCAATACGGCGCCGTCCAGGCCGCCAACGGCAGCCTCCTCATCAACACCCCCTCGGAGAACAACAAGACCTGCGCCATCAACGGCGACCGCGAGAACGTCACCAACGGCATCAACTACGCCTCCTTCACCCTCGACGAGGAGACCGGCAGCGTCTACATCTACACCTTCAACCCCCCTCTCCAGCTCTACGTCGACCGCAGCGGCATGGGCCAGGGCAACGTCCGCTACTCCACTGGTGTCCAGCCCATCGGCAAGAATCAGGAGCGCGGCCCCTTCAAGATCGATGACGACGGTAACCTCGTCTTCGCTGCTGGCGGTCTTTCCGGCGATGTTGGCTTCCAGGCTTGCCCCGGCGCTGTCGGCGGTGGCTGGAAGATCTGGCTCTCTGGTGTTGACAAGCCTGCTGGCTCTGAGGGCTGCACCCCTTTCACCATGAAGGCCCTTAAGGAGGACCCCAGCTACAAGTGCCTCTACTCTTCTTAGATGCTGAGCTGGTAGATGCTGAGCTGGTGGAGATCGTTCGATATTGTACATATTTACATCGCATTTGAGCGTTTGCATAGCTTCTTGTTTATAGACCTGATAGAGAATTGGAAATGATAATGTTCATCCATACACCGCTTTTCTTCTCATTGTACAGTTGTTCGTGATCTTTGACCGGAATCTTCAACTCTTGAGATTTGCTATGAGCGGCTCGGCGCAACGCACGGCCGGACTCAATAACTCAATTGCAGTCGGAGCGCTTCTCGGAGTCTCTAAGATTGCGCCGACATGGATGGCAACAACAGCAGATAATGGAAGCTTCCACGAGCACATGAGCCTGCAAAGTGGCTGCCGGCTGTGGTGAGATGTATTGAGCTAGCGTGAGTTAATCCCCTCTCATCCAAGGATGCCCAAGCAACTGCTTCGCCGTCCACCGATCCTCAGGCCTCCACTGCAACATGCACCTCACAAACCGCAGAAACTCCTCTTTCTTCTCTCCATCTAGATTCTCTTCCGATCCCTCTAACGTCAAGCCTCGCGGTATGTCTATCTCGGCCATCCACTTCCCTCCACCGTCGAAGAACTCTTTACTCCGCGCTCCTCTCTCTAGCAGATCCATCGGCGGCGGACCCAGCATCGCGACTACTTCCGCGAGATGGGCTCTAGTCAGGTATCGCTTTTCGATTGGGTCGATGCCGTGAAAGAGGTGTTTGTCCTCGTATAGGTCCCAAATCTGTGTGCACCTCCGTCAATGTCTAGTTTCGCAGTCCTCAGGCTTGAGATGGTACATACCATCGCTCCCGCATTCCAAATGTCGGCTGGATAACCCCATTCCGTCTTCAGCATAACCTCTGGACAGCGGTAGACATCTGGTTGCGCATCGTGAATCTGGGGTTTGTCGCCGCGAACTGCAGAGCCGAAGTCTCCAAGGACAACACGACCGTATTCTTTCGGCAATCCAAATTGGCGTGTCGTGTAGATTGGTTTGCCGTCTACGACTTTGCGAGGCGAGGGACTTGTCATTTCGGCGTCGACAAAGGCTTTTAAGATATCCTGGTCCTCGATTTCTATGAGGATGTTGTCGGCTTTTATGTCTACGTTCTTGTCAATAAAATTGCGGGCAGACATGTCTTAGGCCGTACGTACCTGTATGTACGATATTAGCTTCTGTGTGAAGGTAATCGAGAGCGAGGAACACTTGCGACAACCCAGCTCTCAGCAGTTCGTCCGTGAAGCGGTGCGCGGAATTCCTATTCAAGAGGTCCTTGAAGCTATCCCACATTGGTTTCTGGACAAGACATCGATGATCGCCGCCTTGCCGGGAAATAGTAAACACGTCGAGGGCTGTCCGGACGTGATGGTATCCTGGATGCGAAGCATTCCCTTTGCTTAAGGTGTTGTACGTGTTGTACTCATCCTCGTCCATTCCTGCTCTTGTGAAAACTTTCAACGTCGTATAGGCATGACGGCTGGGTTGCTGTTAGTACAGACACCTAGGTAGCTGGCATGATAGCCGAATGCTAACTTGCTTTAGATCACGGGCCAGCCAGACAGTTGACGTAACACCGAAACCAAGTTTGCCTACTACTTGGTACTTTGACGCGAAGACGTCTCCTATGTTGACAGGATAGTAGACACCCCTGTGGAACTCTGCAAGCTGTTCTTCTTCGAACAGTACCGCGTCGCTGACGACTTCAAAACCCGATGTCGGAAATTTGAGTTGGGGCCATGGTTGCCTTCGAAAGAGCGACTTCGCGAGTTTGAACATGACAAGGTAAGAATCATCAGGTTAGTAGACTTCTGAGCTCCTCTCTGACCTTACGAGCTGCTTTGAAGCAAAGATTGAAGCAAAAGGTATGTAGTAGGTCGAGGGGTTGCCCACAATACAGTTATTGCAATGTTGAGGGCGACGACGTGAGAGCTGTTGTAATTGAAAAGAACCTATTGTGAACGAGTGACATAGCTCTCTAAGGGTAGCAGAGGCTGCCTGTCATGTTCCTGGGTAGTAGGCTCGTCGTCTCCGGGGTGCCTCTGGTCATCGAACCTGGGAGCAAAAAGGATGGCAAAAAAAAGTGCAAAAACATACAACAGCGGGGATTCGCTAGTGGTCACCCACCTAACTACTAATCCGCCGGTATCATGCTTGTATATGGCTGAGCGGACGGGAAGCCTAATTTTCATGATCCTATGGTCGTATGTGGAAGAATGGGTGGCTGGCGGAGGATATATACCCAGTAGACAGTCTACCACCCAACGAACAAGACAGGAACACCAGAAGACGATGCTACCAGCGTGGTATCGTGTTCTAAGCCGGGGGTGTGGGTCGTGGGGCCTTGGTGTTTAGTGGGTGCTGATTTTGACATGCCGCATGCATGTGTTGTCGCTAAGTGGGCCTTTGTCGGCGGAACCAAGGAACTGAACTGGACATGTCAGCGGTGCCATCTGCACGCTTCTTTATTCGTTGCTGCTACTAGCTGCTAGATTATAAGACTGCGATATGTTGTAGACGACTGTTGGCTTCGAGACTTTGAGATGGCGGTACCTGGACTGCTGGTTCGGGTGGAGTGGGCGCAGTGCGTGGAGCGTTTAATTCGTACGTTGGCGGAAGCCTTATACGCTGACCATAGTTCTTCAACATCTCCATCTCTTAAATCCAAGGTCCGCTTGGTATGTTGGTGATAAAGTGGTTGCGAAGCAGACATCGGGAGGCCGTTGGGTATCTAGGTAGGCAGCACGCGTCCCGCCACCTTTCTTTTTCCCACCTTACACCGCCAGTACTACAACTGTTGTCTGTGGCCGACAATGAGTATCAAAGATCGATGCGACGATGAATTGACGTTGCGCGCAATTCGAGATGATTGCGCACGTGATGTGGTGTTCTGATCTTGGGAGGCAGCTGCGAACCTGTTCGCCGGGATGGTGATCGGACAAAGACCGGCCCATCGGTTCGCGACGTTTTCGGCAGTGTCGCATGCGCCCATGGTCCACGAGGCAGCCACACAGCCTCTATGCTGTACTCCGTTCTAAAGTCAACTACTCTGCGTTCAGTCGGATCATCGATATCGTGGCATAGTCTATTACCACATACTGGAGGTTAGTCGGTTGGGTAGCTCGCGGCGTTATCGGGAGTAGGGCTAGTAAGCAGCAATGATTATATCATACCGACGGCCCGAGCTCTCATGTCAAAAGTGCCCTCGCGTCGCAACCGCCTAGACACCTTCTCGCCGCTTTCGACGTCCTGATCTGCCCAGACTCTGCGATAACCAGAGCCCCGGCAATCACAAGCACCATCCGATCGATGCAGGGCCAACAACAGACGCCCTTTCTCCCCAGCATCCCGCTTGCGCACGGCTATCTGACGGCCTCGAAGCACCACCGCCAGCCATTATGCGGTAATAGCGAGGGCTGGGGCCCAATCAGCCCCATACGATATGACTTCACTCCGTGCTTCTTGGATGTATGGATAGCGGTCGTCGCGGCGTTTGGAATCGTGGGCGGAGTAGGCGCGTTGTGGTATCTCTACAGGAAATGCCCACCGCAGCCTGTGAAGCGCAATTGGCACTTTTACGCGAAGCTAGTATGTTCGAGACTATGGGCTCATCTAGGTATTAGATTGAACAGTTGCTAACAATTTGCGCCACCAGACGTCACTTGGCGCCCTCATCGCCACCACAGCAGTCCAGGCAGCCCTCCAAATCGAATACTACAAAGACGTATGGGCCGGCGACTTCCGTTTCTGGACGTCCATAATCACCGTCGTCTCTCTCGGCTTCATATTTCACATCCAGTACATCGAACACTGGCGATCGCGAAATGCCAACGGCGTGGTCCTCTTCTACTGGCTCTTCCTGCTCATCGCCTACGCCGTCAAGCTCCGCTCCCTCGTCTCCCAGCAGGTACATCGCGAACATGTGGCATACTTCGCAGTCTTCTGCGCTAGTGTTGGATTGGCTGGACTCTCATTCGTCCTGGAATGGCTGGTCCCGAAGCGTATGAGCGACTACGACATGCTTGGAGACGACGATGAATGCCCATACGAATACGCGGACGTCTTCTCTGTCTTGACATTTGGCTGGATGACACCGATGATGAAGCAAGGATACAAGACTTTCCTCACCCAGGATAGCCTGTGGAACCTGCGAAAGCGCGACACGACCCGACACACCTCGCAGACATTTGAGGATGCGTGGAAATACGAGATGGAGAAGAAGCGCCCTTCGTTGTGGCTGGCCATGTTCCGCTCATTCGGCGGTCCCTACTTCCGCGGCGCTGCCATCAAGACCATAAGCGACGTGCTGAACTTTGCTCAACCCCAGTTGCTGAGACTTCTGATCACTTTCGTCGACTCTTACCGCGCCAATTATCCCGGAGAGCCCCAGCCTCTCATTCGTGGTGCGGCTATCGCGCTTGCCATGTTCGCCGTGTCCGTTTCCCAGACCGCCTGCCTCCACCAATACTTCCAGCGCTCTTTCGAGACCGGCATGCGCATCAAATCTTCGCTCACGGCTGCCATCTACTCCAAGTCCACCCGTCTATCCAACGAGGGTCGCGCGTCCAAGTCAACCGGCGATATCGTCAACTACATGGCCGTGGATACCCAGCGTCTCCAGGATCTTGCGCAATACGGACAACAATTGTGGTCTGCTCCCTTCCAAATCATCCTGTGCATGCTATCGTTGTATCAATTGCTTGGTGTCAGTTGTTTCGCAGGTGTTGCCGCCATGTTCGTCATGATCCCTATCAACGGTGTGATTGCACGATGGATGAAGACTCTGCAGAAGGAACAGATGAAGAACAAGGATTCGCGTACCAAACTGATTTCTGAGATTCTCAACAACATGAAGTCGATCAAGCTCTACGCTTGGACGACTGCCTTTGCCAACCGCCTGAACACCATCCGAAACGACCAAGAACTCAAGACCTTGCGCAAGATTGGTGCGACCCAGGCGTTCTCCACATTCACATGGTCCACAACTCCGTTCTTGGTGTCGTGCTCAACTTTTGGTGTCTTCGTCTGGACGCAGAACCGTGCTCTGACAACTGACATTGTCTTCCCTGCTCTTACGCTCTTTAACCTCCTCACTTTCCCACTTGCCATCCTCCCTATGGTTATCACCGCCATTGTCGAGGCCAGTGTAGCTGTCGGTCGTATCACTGGCTACCTAACCGCCGATGAGTTGCAGGAGGATGCTGTCATCCGTGAAGATGCTGTGACTGAGAATGGCGACGAGTCGGTGCGCATCCGCGATGCTAGCTTCACTTGGGACAAGAACGCTGAGCGCCGTGCTCTCCATGACATCAACTTCACCGCACACAAGGGAGACCTCGCGTGTATTGTCGGTCGCGTCGGTGCAGGCAAATCATCGCTTCTCCAAGCAGTTCTTGGTGATCTGTGGAAGATACACGGAGAGGTCGTTCTCCGCGGAAAGACTGCGTATGTTCCACAGTCAGCTTGGGTCATGAACGCTTCCGTTCGCGAGAACATCGTATTTGGTCATCGCTGGGATCCCCAGTTCTATGAGAAGACTGTCAATGCCTGTGCACTACGAGACGACTTTGGCTCCCTTCCCGATGGCGACCAGACCGAGGTCGGTGAACGAGGTATCTCACTTTCAGGTGGTCAAAAGGCCCGACTAACGCTTGCTCGTGCTGTGTATGCTCGTGCGGACATCTATCTTCTCGACGACTGCCTGTCCGCTGTTGACCAGCACGTTGGACGTCATCTCATCGACAACGTACTCGGGCCCAAGGGTTTACTTGCGGGCAAGACCAGGATTCTAGCAACCAACTCCATCCCCGTTCTGATGGAAGCCGACATGATCCTGCTACTGCGCGAAGGAAAGATTCTAGAGAGAGGCAGCTACGGACAACTAATGGCCATGAAGGGTGAAATCGCCCAGCTTATCAAGACATCTCAGAACGAAGATCAAGGAGAAGACGACAGCACTCGCACATCCGACAGCATCATGAGCGATGAAGATTCTACCGTCTACGGTGGTAGTCCCACTGGCGAAGACGACGAGGAAGATCAAGCCGAAGCTGAGGCCGCCCAGGAGGGTGGCGCAACTCTCGCTCCTTTGAGGGTCGGAGGCGGTACGGGCCGCAAGTCGAGCTTCCAGACCCTTCGTCGAGCCAGCACTGCCAGTTTCAAGGGGCCTCGCGGCAAGATGAACGACGAAGAGGGCGGCGGGCTCAAGAGCAAGCAGACCAAGGAGTTCTCTGAGCAAGGCAAGGTCAAGTGGTCCGTTTACGGCGAATATGCAAAGACAAGCAATCTTGCAGCTGTCGCCATCTATCTGATGCTCCTTTTGGGTGCTCAAACATCATCAATCGGTAAGTCGCACAGCCTTGGGTGCTTCTACATGGTTCTTGGCCTTTGACAGCACGCCATTGGCTCGTCACTTTTTCGTCTTTTGGGGTTGACGCTAATATCATGCAGGCGCAAGCGTGTGGCTCAAGCATTGGTCAGAGATCAACCAGCATTACGGCGGGAACCCTCATGTGGGGAAATACATCGGCATCTACTTCGCGTTTGGCGTGGGATCTGCTGCCCTGGTTGTTGTGCAGACGTTGATCCTCTGGATTTTCTGCTCCATCGAAGCTAGCAGGAAGCTACACGAGCGGATGGCGTTTGCCATCTTCCGCTCGCCAATGAGCTTCTTTGAGACTACACCTGCAGGACGCATACTCAATCGATTTTCGAGGTAAGTCATTGCCGCGGTCCGGTCCACGTCTGCCGATACCTTGTTCATGCACTCTCCTCGCCGA